TTGTCGTACCTCTGAGTCTCTGACACTCGAGTGTACTGTCTGTGAACATTGAACATTAACTCGACGAAAGTTAATGTTCAAAAATAAATTCTCTGCAAATAAATTTTTGAGCGAAGTATTTACCCTTTGAAAGTTTAGCAATGAGGATATCCTCGTCCCCTGCTCTCACCCCGGTTTGGCTCGTTTCATGTTCGATATTCAAGACATTAACTCGCGTTCACGTGACACTGGTTTCAAGACAAACTAACATTCACGTGACACGATCGCAGCGCGGCATTGGCTGGGTTGGCGCTCTTTCAATGTGCTTTGCGTTTCGTGCACTCGAAATACCCCACTTCCCCGACGGATCAGGTCCTGGTTTCAAGTGGCTGATACACAAAGGCGCCACAGTCCTATTCCGCAAGAACTGCGAACTCGTGAAGGGCTACAGCCGTGAAGTCGAATTTAGTCAGAATGAACCTGAATGACTTCGTGAATTATGCGGAATTCATGATGTGATGGTGAATTCCGGCGAATTCGTGTTGACCGTGATGGTGAATAACTTCATGAAGTGATTGTGAATTCGGACGAATTCATGATGTGATGGTGAATTCGGGCGAATTCATGATGTGATGGTGTATTCGGATGAATTCGGGATGTGATGGTGAATTCGGATGAATTCATGATGTGATGGTGAATTCGCATGACTTCGTGAAATGATGGTGAATTCGGATGAATTCGTGAAGTGATGGTGAATTCGGATGAATTCATGATGTGATGGTGAATTCCCATGAATTCACGATGGTGAATTCCTATTAATTCGTGGTGATGGTGAATGACTTCGTGAATTGGTGATGTGATAGTGAATGACTCCGTGAATTCGGAGGCGGCGGTGATGTGATTGGGATAAATTCGTGGTGGGGTTGAACGCCGTGATGTGAAGGGGATGAATTCTCGGCGGAGTTTGAAAGCCGTCATCTGAAGGGGATGAAGTTTTGGCGCGGTTGAACGCCGGGAGGTGAAGGGCCGTGACTTTGGGAGGTCGGAGTACCTTGTGACGTGAATGCGAATGAATTTGGAGACGTGATTTTGTTCGGTGATGTGATCGTGAATGAAGGGGCTCTAAAATGCCGACCTATGAATCTAGCAACGTTGGGGAACTTGCTGCGTAATCGTGACGTAGCAGATTCCTCCGGAGCAGCGCCGCTCTTTGGAATTTCAACATTTTCCTTTAACTTTCCTCCTTAACTCACAAATCGCGCATTTTACCAAACGGTCCAAGAAGACGGAAAGGAAGGACTCCCCTCTAGCTCGGACCTTCGTTCGTGCAGCAGTACACAGCCATTCTCTCCCTAGAAGATTAGCCCGTCGCTCAAATCTCGAACAAAAGTTGCTTTCCCCACCCCGTTCAGCCCTAAGCTGACAGTGTTGTGGAAGCTACGTGCTCCTTGGGCCAGCCACACGCTCGTCACCCCACGGGTACTTCGAACGGCTCGGTTGTAACGCGCTGACGCTATTGACAGTTTTTGACACCACCACAACGCTGACAACGCCACTAAGGGCAAAGCTCATAACCACGGCTGCCCTGCTACTCCACGAAAGCGGGGAATCTTTTCTTTCTGTTTTTGTTTGCGCCGGATATCCCATGACGCATCGCGCTCTTCGTTCGCTTCTCTTCGAGCGCTTGCTCGAGTGCACCGTTTGGAACGAAAAATATAGCCAGTCGTTCAAAATACAAACGAGCGAATATCATTTACGGTTATTATCCGTCATGCTTGACTTATTTCCGAAGGAAATTCGAATATTTCAATTTTTGTTTCCGTGCCCCTTTAAACGTAATATACACATATATATATATATATATATATATATATATATATATTGTGGGTAGTTCGATGAGAACGTAGAACGCAGAAGCGAGACTGGTCACAGCAGAGAGCCACTGATAACGTGAGAAACGTAGGGTGCGGCGAGTCCTGGAGTTCTTATTATCGCGGCGCAGCCAATTAGGTTTCAGCATAGGCTGAGAAGAACGTCCAAGGACGTATCAGGTCGTAAGGGGCGTGAACAGAAGCGGCCACGCCCTACGTTCCTTAACCTGTCGGTGACTGTCGGGGCTCCCTCGGCGCCCCATCTCATTGGCCGCTGTAAGGGATCACGTGACCACAGCGAACAACCAATGGCGTTCGTGTCGGAAGTCGCAGTATGCCGCGTGCGTCTTGGTGCATAGAACGTTTGCACCGAGAGACTGCACCCCACGACAGGTTTACTGACCTAAGACCGCACATAAGGTATTCGACGTAGGATTTTGTCAAATAAAACCAAAACACTGCCGGAATTTTTTTTTTTCTTTTAGACTTGTGAATTGTGTTGTCATGTTTTCTCATTTACGTGTGGGGTGGTTTTTTTACCCGCAGCAACTGACACACATAGACATTACAACCTACATGCTGCCGGGAACGTCGCCTCATGAACGGGGAATCCCGCAGCAAGTGAAGAACAGTTATTCACGTCCTTCCACGTTCCCTGCGTCGCGACCATTCTATTAATTTTACTGTGCAACTGCGGCTTTTTTTTTTACTGTAAACATTTGGTTTTGTTTGTTGGGATACAGCGAGAGAAACGAAGGACCTCTAAATGCAATGCATTTAGAGGTCCTCTGTTACGTGCTGGTGTCACGTGATGTGACAGAGTCGCAGTGTACGTCAGATGACATCACGATGTCACATGGTGGTGTCACAGCTGTTGTCGCGGCGTTTCGTGATACGTCACTGTCCCACGTAACGTCATCACGCGATGTCACGGCGTCCCGTACACACGATGACCCGATCGCTTCTTCTTTGAGGACTCGTCACCGGATCCAGCACCACGGTCAGGCACCAACTGTCCCGAATACCCGTGACGTCATCAGCGTGACGTCACCATCGAGGCTACGTCCCGAATGTGCACACGAAAAATCAAAGAGCTAACTCTATAAATGCTACTCTGTAACACGTGAAATGATCTCATTTCCCAGATTTGATCGGCCCGATTCTCTCGCTGGCGGTTCACATTTCCGGCCGAAGACGCCGGGCCGGACAATTGCAGACATTGTTCCCGCCAATATCTGCGCGTTCTAGGCCGCTCATTGTTCCGGTTGGTTCCGCAATCGTTTCCTCTTGTCCGGTTTTTGTTCACTGCCGACATGGCCGCTTTGTTCTTTGGTCTCGGCTTCTCTCGATGTCGCTCCGACTGCACCAAGACCTCTCAAAAACAGCCCCGAGAACGTCGTCCCATTGTTTGTTTCTCTGGTCAGGCCTTACACCGAGCGATTGGCCCCTTTGTTTACCTATCGGAATATCAAACCCCCCCCCCCTTTTTTTTTTTTTTTTTGTGGAGCAATCGTAATAACAGAACGCCTTCGATAGAAGAGCACGCTGGACTGCATTCTGAACCGAACAGTCTGACGTAAAAACGCCGTAATTCTTTTTTTTTTTTTTTTTTTTTGTCTCGAAGTTGCGGAACCAATCTTTCCCAATCGGTGATCTTGCGGGCGGAAAGTATAAGGGGAAGAAGTAGCGCGTAAACGACAAAGTGCGCGGGAGGGAGCTCGAATGCCGTGGGCATGTCCACTGGATATAATAATTGCTTCCTCTTGTCTCGCGTGCGTTGTAGTGCTGTAGGTGTCTCTGTAACCGAAGTTTTGACGAGTGGGATTTAATAGCACCGCGGAAGTAGATATCGCTCGAGGTGGATTGACGGTACTTCAGCTAATGCGTATTTGAGGGGAGTGAAGTGGTTTCCACTTGTCTGTTTTGATGAAGTAGTGAAAACCAATCATGCACGCGAGAACAAAAAAAAATGAAATTAGGCGTAACTGGAGGGAGGTACGCGCGTGTGCCCGTGCTTTCAATTGCTCTCGCCACAATGGAAGTTGACATGTGTGTTTTTAACTGTTCTAGTTAATGACAAATACTTTGTTAATGGCTTCGATCTGTTTATATGTATGCTGAAATTGTTTGAAGCACCGAAAGATATTTACTATATGGTTCGTCATGGGGGTATTGAGAAAGGCCTGTGGTTTAATTGTACACGATAGACCTCACCGATCTGAAGAAAACAAGCTAAGGGATATTATTGTTCCCCCCTGGCTATGTCATAAGTTAGAAGCTGAAGGGACGGGGCTTATCCACGAGTCTGTGAGACATCGAAGCTTCTCGTAAGCGGTTACCTGGTTTTTCAGTGCCCAACTTTTTTCTCCTATACTTGTTAGTGAGCGCGTTGGTAATGATGTATGTTTTGAAAGAGTTGTATACGTAAAGACAGGGGACGGGACAACACATCCTTCAACGAACAAATGATTTATTGCTGGACGCTTCGCCTTCGGAGCTCCACTATAGGAGAGGGAAAGTTAAAAGGAGGGGGAAGGAGGGGGGCAAGACAAGGCCCCGGGGGAAAAACTTGGGGAAAGTTGGTAAAGCGCAGAGCGGGAAGGAGAGGAAGGAAGGAGGCATCCCGATTTCCCTCTCAGGAGCAAGGACCACTCGCCCGGCCCGCCAAGGCCGTCAACTCCGGTCTCAGGAATGTCACCTCTGACAGCGACAACGAGGCCGAGGAAATGTTCTTCGGCGCCTCTTTTATGACGTACGCCTCCACGATCTCGCGCCCGTAGCGGTTCCTGTTGGCCCCCAGAACACGCGCGGACGGGAACTCTGGGGCACATGGGGCGCAAACCTTGAGGTGAAGGGCCATGGGGTGTTGGGATTTTGTTGAGATTTTGCGGTCGATCAATCTTGATCAATCACGTGCTGAAAAAAAAAATGTTGCATATTTTTTAAAGGTTTTACAGGGATGGGGTATTTTTACGGTGAGAACGTGGTTCTCTTTTGACCGAAAGACCCCGTACACGAGGGCGTGAAGGATTGGCCCGTTTCAGTGCTTACGTGTGTGCTCCTGTGCCGTCACAGTATTGAAAGCTTTAAATATGTGGACCTCTCGATGGTTCTTTAACTGTTTGTTTGGTCCCCTTTGTGTCGTTACAGAGGTGGAAGCTGTCCACGCTTGCGAATGGCTCAGGCAGGCCGGATTCCCGCAGTATGTGCAGATGTACGAAGGTGAGATGCCGTGGTGCACTTTTAATTGCCGCATGTTCATGTACACTCTAAAAAAACAAAAAAGGTGAGTTTTATTTCTTACAGGACACGCTGATGGCCAATAACGGTGTGGTTCTCCTTAGGGCCACTGCCTTTGGGAGTTCCACGTTCGCGGCGAGACGCTCTACCGCGAAGCCGGTTCGTACTCGCGCGGCATGCTGCTCGTTGAGCGCAATCAGACACTAGTCACGTTGGTAACGGTGATAAACTCTGTTTATTTACAATAAAACAAATAACAAGAAAACAGCGGCTATAAGCTGGTGAACGCCGTCGGTGTTTAGATCGCCCACGGCCGAGCGGTCGTTCACAAAGGTACAAAGGACGGGGTAAACGCTCACCGGTGTGCCGGACGGTTCCTCGTTGTCGCCGCCGCCGAATCGAAGAAGGGAGCGAGATACTGCTGTTCGCTGGTTTTAAGATCAGGGTTGCCAGGTGTTTGAACTCCAACCCGCCAAACGTCTACGAGATCTAGCCCAAAAATAGCCAAATGTCGATCCAGAAAAATAGCCCAAAAATAGCCCAAAAGAAACTTATCATTTGAAACGTTTATTTTGAGCAGAAAAGACACATAATACATTTTGATCCATCAAATGTCCCAGAAATGGCGTTCCTTGCACGTTCGGCGAACTTCCTGAAACGCTCGTACAAGCGCATGACAACATACCTTGTTGCAATATTGGTGAAGCCTAGTCATAAAAAGTTTAAACGATTTTGTGCCCAGCGTGACCGCAGATCTGTCTAGTGATTGGTGCGCGTGACATGTCACGTGTGAGATGGATGGTTGATTGTAGAAGGACTTCTAGCAGGCCTGCGCGCGCTCCGTCCGGTAGGTTTTATCAGATCGAAAGCTAGACTGTGGTGTATCCTAGTGCCCCACAGCAAGACGAAGGCTAGCTACGGTCACGTGATGTGGTCACGTTGGCATGGTAAGTGAGGAGAGTAAGGAGGAAAATGAGAAAGAGGCGAGGCGTCAAGGGAGCATGGCTTGCGGAGGCTACGCGGCCGACGTCATGCCCTCTCCTACCCTTCTATCCTCCTTGACTGGGACGGGTGACCAGAATGACGTCAAGGGAGAACTATGCAGAATTCAGACAACCTAAATAATGCGCAGAACAGGTGCTGTTAAGGCCGCAAGGAATCGCGCCGTCAATTGTTGAGATGGAGGAATAACAGCACATGCTTGCATTCGGAGGTAAACAATTGCACAAGGCGCGCAAAAAGAAGACGAATTTGTTTGCTGTCGCAAACTTATCAGGGTTAAGGGACTGAAGCACCAAATGCTCACGTAACTTACTCTAAAAATACATTCGAACCTATAAACCCAAGTGCTTTCAGACATTTTGGTTCCAGCACAGGTCAGAAATTGCCCAATGCACAGGTCAGAAATAGCCCAATGCACAGGTTAGAAATAGCCCAATACTAGCCAAATAGCCAAATACCATTTTTTCCCGCCAACTGCAAATAAAACTAGCCCAATTTGGCTATTTATAGCCCAACCTGGCAACCCTGTTTAAGATAACGACGGGGGCGAGGTGGCCAATCAAGGAGCGACACGTCGATCTCCTTTGTGCGGGGGTTCGTTACGAAAATCGCCCTCAAAGGGGGAGAGGAGGAAGCCACTGACAGTGGTAAGCAGCGCCACCTCTCGCTACGTCAGCGCGGCCGCCACGGCGCGCCAAAACGCTGACGCGACAGAATGTTGAGGGATCACAATCCCCACAACGGGGATATGGTGTACTAGAAGACTGGGCAGTGTAGCGAGCGCCGGCGGAGGGGGGGCTCTTTCAGCGATGACCGGATCGGTGGCCGCGAGAGGGCGCAACGTGTAGTAGGCGTGCTGCCGGAGTGCGGAGCGCAGGCAGCGGTAGCGCTTGGCTGGCTTGGCGTTCCGCACGGGCTCGATTGTTTCGTATTGTTTGGCTAACTCTTTACGGTATTCATTATTTCTGTTGTTTCACATATTATTTATCGCACTAATTCGTTTCCAAATGCTTTGCCCGAGACGTGCATCTTCGGGCAGGACGCCACAGTACAAATCGCGACACTGCTAGCGCGAACAAGACATTGGCGCTTTCTCGCATTTACTTCGAAAGAGTATTAGTGAGGACGAACTTTTATCACCTGCATTATAGACCCGAATGAGCTTTTTCCCCAGCAATTAGAACTTTGCTGGAAGCTTTGGTTTCTCATAGAAAAACCGGCGATCGCTTGTTCGCGCTAACAATGTTGCGTTCTGAATAGCTGCGGGAAATCCATCCCCCAGGGAAACGTTCGGGAAGTCTCTTGAAAGAGACGTCCCAAACGTGTGTAATCCCCTGGATAACGTAGGATAAGCATGCTGATGGCATGATACCTAAACAAATGTGTGCTTTTGTGGCCCTATAATTTCGCTGTCGCTGTAGTTGTGATCAATGAAATCCGTGGTTGAAGCGCGCACTACCCTAATGAATTGTTTCAATATTTGGGAAAACAAAATGGGGCTTACAAAACGGATTATATCGTCTACTTCCGTAGGCTGCATGGAGGTGCCACTGTCGACTCTTGCAGCTGCTTCCACGGGCTTTCGAAGGAATTTCCAGCACTAGCCTTTATCGTATTTTCTGTTACTACGTAGGGTCTTCAAACAGGACTGTGCGCATAGTTAGAAAAATGTATCCACTCACCAGCTCTGGTAGTAACCACAGTGGATAGATTCTTATTTATCCACTGAGCACCAGCTATATTGATATGTGTGGGCACCAGGGCACACAGATAAATTTTTAATTATACACTGGGCGCCAGCGCACAGATGAGATTAATGAGGTGCACCCAAGGATTTCGGAGGCGATGGTCCGCTGGGCCATAAGACCCTTCAATTTTCTTGCGGTAAAAATAAAAAGAGGCCTCTTAGCGCCTCCTCATTGAAGAGACGGAGTGCTGGGCCAACCCTCATCATTTTAAAGTCGTTAGGAAAATTTTTGCTGATGTGAGGCTATAACCTTTAACGTCACATTTTCACAGACACTTCTCCAAGCCTTTCTAATGCAGTCAGCGTGCACAGGACCCTTCGGTGTGTCCAAACCAGTGTCAAACCGATTTAGCAGATACTTAGACTGCAAAAAGTCCGGAAAAAAAATGTAGAAGACGACTGCCATGACTGCCTGCATTACATGAAGCAGAGTCTCCCTGTCACTCCTTTTAATGTTGCGGGACGACGACTGACGCCGATCGAACTCGAAGAGGGGCACGAAAAAGGGAACGGGCTTCTTTGCCACTGTTGCCACTGTTGCAACCCGGCACCTGGCCCAATAATTGAGGTTAGGGAGGGGAGGGGGGGGGGGGGGGGCATTGAGAATATAAGAGTCGTTGCGAATTAAAGGGGTGCTTTGGGAAAAACAAGGGGGGAGTACACCCCCGTAGAGGGGTGTAGGGAAATCACTGCCCCGACACAAAACATGTCCCGTCTCTCTTGTCCCGCCGTTTTTCCGTCATTGCACGCGTTGTCTACATCCCACTGAACAGCAATGATCACAATCCATTTCACTCAACCATTAAAAAAAAAAAAAAAAAAAAAGAAACTGCAGCAAAACAAGGCGACGACGCGAACTACGCGATCACAAGCAGTACGGCCACACGGCAATCCGAGCGGAAAGGAGCACGCCTGTTACCCGCAGCGCCCCCTGGCGTCCTTGCGCTCCGTCATCGCTGCGCCGACCTCCTCCTTCCGTTGCTTCTCGGCGCGGACGACACACTGCCCAGTTCTAGAACACCATAACGGGGACCTCTTTAAAAATTCCAGCGAATCACGACGCTCAGAGTGCGAGTACACACACACGCACAAACCTTTGCCGGTTCCTTGCGTGTGCTGCGAATAAACTGCGGCGACAGCCGAGACGCTGCACGCTGCTGCACACTGTGACAACACGGCAGCGTTTATATTTAGCGAACGATGTTCACGTGACTCGATGACCACGTGACGCCGCAACTTCACGTGGCAGTAAATTACCGCTAAATAGGACGAATAACTTTTCACCCATAAATATAGCGAAAATTTCCCCCTTAATTTAGCAAAACAAAATGCTAAATTTAGCGGAGGAGCTTCTCCGCTAAATTTAGAAAGAAAATCTGGGACGTCATTGACACGACGCCACAAGACACTGTGACGTTAAAATTCCACGAAACTCTGATTCCTGAATAAATTGAAAAAAAAAAAAAAATGTCGGGATAAATTTAGCGGGCCACGACGTGTACGAAACGCACTCGGAATACGTCGCGAAACCTCGTCAATAGCGGCCATGGCTGCAAAGAAGCCATGTGCGCAAGGACATTGCGCATGACGTTTCGCCTGTTCCCCACTCACGTGACATTTGATGGTGGTATTCGGAGCTTGGTCATTCGCTGGGATCTTTTTGCCATTCGCCTTGATATGGCTGCCCTCGTGTTGTGCAGGAAAGGGAACTGGCAGACTTCTTTTTTTTTTTTAGAGTGTGTCAGCTTCATTAACCTTGCGAGTCATCCTAATTGTGAGCCCTTGGCTCGTGGGCTTCTACCGGGACTTGATCCTGGATTAAATTTCCGCGCAAGGTTAATCTCCCTTTTTGTGCTCGCGCTCCGCCCCCCCCCCCCCCTTCTTTTTTCGGTTATTTTTGTGCGTGCACGCTGGTCGGTTTCTAATTAATCTTGTAAAACAATTAATCCCCTCTCCTCCAGTAATAAAAAAAGAGTTCGAGGGTTAGAAGACAGAGATAGAATGTTTTTTTATTGCATTTAGAAGCCTCCTATTTTTTGTTATTAACTCCATGATTTCCGAGTAGCTTAGCTTCATGTTGTCTATTCTTGCTTTGTTTTCATAGTTTTTCTCCCTTGCTTTCTTTTCGTAGTTTTTTTCTCTTGCCCCTTTCCTTTGCCTCATCTCTTCGATTCACTTTTAAAATATTTTGCTAGTTTTTTTTTATATTCTTCTAGTTTCCTATTATTTTTTACCCCGTCGTTTCTTTGTTTTTTCTTTTGAACTGCAACTTCCTCCGGGAACTTCTTTTATATATATATATATGTATATCTGGATGTAAAATAGCCCGAGACTCGCGTAAGCAAAATAAAGGATTCAAAACTTTAAAGAAAAAAAACAAAAAAGAAACATACGTTCTGACCCCCCCCCCCCCCCCCCCCCCCCACACACACACACACACACCTTTTTAGCGCATCATGTGTTTTGTCATCGGAATTTTACGATAAAGCGCCGTTCACACTCTTGTGACCGACTTCGACCGAGAGAGACCGGACCGGTTTTTAAGCCTTTTGCGACTTCTTAGGACCGGATGCGCGGCAGCGGAGCTGGTCGTAAGAGATCGCAAGAGGCTTAAAAACCGGTCTGGTCTCTCTCTCGGTCTTACTCGGTTGCAAGAGTGTGAACGGGCCTTAAACCGTCACGAAGAACCGCCACAAAGTAGGTACTGTGACAGCATGACGTCATGTTACACCCTAACATGACGTCATGTGACGTGACACCGTGACGTTATGTGACCTCTACATCACGTCACATACACATGGCACGTACCCAGCTCATTCGCAACAGGTACGTCCCGCACTGCCCGGTCTTTATCAGCGTTATCGAGTTTGTGTAATTTCTTTTTTTTTTCGTCCATTCTACGAGGACATTGATTCTGCCTTCGAGTCTTTAGTTTTCTTTACTTATAAGCATCAAGTTGTTTTACATCTTAGTAAACTTGTTTTTGACGTCGTAGGGGGCTGCATGAATTGCGTCATGACAGACGTCCTCGTGTAGTGTTCTTGTTGCTGCCGCTTGTGGTAAATGGGAAAAGCCTGCTACGTTCAACCAGATGCTATGCACACCGCGAAAATACAATGGCCTTGGGGCGGTGTGTGCCAAGAGGCTTTGCGCGCCTTGTCGGGGACACTCGAAGAGGCGCTGCGGCTATCTTTGCTGTCTTGGCGAACTTCGGTGCGCCGGCGGCTGCCCTTTCCCTGACCATTTGCTCTGTCCCCCAAGCGCCCCGGCCCGCGCTAAAAGAATCATGGGAACGGTTAGTGATCGGTAATTTCGACCTTAACTTTGGTTGCACAGCTTTTCAGCGTAATTCGCCATCACCCTGAACAAGCGCCTGATATACCCCAATGACCTGTCACATCACTTTTAAAATATCTCTTCAATGTCATCATGTTTGATACTGCGCATGCTGTCCACCCTTCAACCTGGATGTACTGCAGAAATCTCTTACATTATTACCATTCTCGTACAGCTTCAGAGACGCTGATATTGAGTTAGAAACGCTAAAAATGCTATAAACACCCCTACGGACTCCGAGCTAAATCCCGGTTTTTGTTGATGTGAATTCTCGGCTTTTTAAGCAATTCCTGCGAATAAAAGAATCACGAGACTGATAATATTGTAAAAGATTTCTGCAGCTCAGGCCAGAGGTGGATCGCATGCACAGTATCAAAAATGCCGACATTGACAAGAAATTTTAAAAGTGATATGACAGATCCTTGGGGTCTATCAGGCGCTTGTTCAGGGCGACTCCGGATTAGACTCAAAACTGTGTAACCATGGAATTTGTCAAAATTACCGATTACTAGTGAGCTAAAAGAATACCGTTCCCATGATTCCTCGAGTGCGAGCCGGGGCGCTTGGGAATATTGCAAATGGTCTAAAACAGCGTGATCAAAGTACGCGATGCGCATGCGTTCTTTGGGAGGCGAAGACACAGCTAGGGGAGGATTTGGCGCTGTAGTCCAATGCTAATGAGCGGGGTGGCATGTGCGCTCCGTAGTTAGGTGGTTGATTGAACTCTGGAACCGCGCTTGGTTTTATCTCAGCTCGGAGCCGACCAACGGCTATGGGCGCTGTATAAGCGCTGTATAAGGCTTTCTTTAGGGACTAAAGTTATTTCTACCGTAAAATCCCGTAAGAACGCACACCCAAAAGGAACGGATAAATGGTAAAAAGCATAGGGGGGCGGGGGGGAGGGGGGGGGGGGGCTATCTTTGGGGAGGCGCCGGGAAAAGTTTATCAAAAATTAGTGATAAGCATCGCGGGGCACCCGTTACAAACCACGTGACACGGTAACTGATACCGCAGATCGCGGACACGGCGAATTCGCGTTTCATGTTGCTCTAAACACGCGAAAATTCGCTACGAGCTCTTGTGTCATGTGAAATGGCAATACAGGTTGCGGACGCAGCCGATTCAAGTTTCACGGCTCAATGAACCCGCGGGAACCCGCTACAAACTTGCCTGTCACGGGAACCGATATTGGACATACAAATCGTGTACAGAAACACGGGAGTCCGCTTCAAACTTGGTATGTCACGGGAATGGATATAGCAGATCGCGGACGCAGTAGATTCGCATTTCACGATACAGTATACGCGCGGCAACAACTCGCGTCTTACGGGAACCGATATTCCGCGCGCAGATCACGAACAAAAACGCGGGAACCCGCCACGAACTCGCTTGTTAGACGTACCGGTACCGCAGATCGCGCGGGTGATGCGGTTCCCGTCGGACATCGCGTGATTCGAGATATAAACGACGTTCCGATTTTTTTTTTATTTTTTTTTTTAGAGGTGTTTAGTTAGAAGATTGAGATGGACGATCTCTCGGGGCAGGGCGTCCTTGTGGGATTGTACGTAATTATGATAACCTACAAAAATTAAGTTTAGAACTTTGGTTTCCATCCAAGCCTAACGTATTCTTGCTCTTGTTTGCGTGCAGAGAACTGCTTTCCCATGGACATCTCGACGGTTCTACGGGACCACCCTAGCCTGGATCCGGACGAACTGCAGTCTCTGTTCAGGTGAACGGGAGCAAAACGTTTTGTTAATGATCGTGGAGTGACTTGTCTACGAGGAGACCTTGCACTCGCCTCGGTGCAGACACTGGGCGGGGCTATGTTATTACCGAAGAAATGACGCATTAAGACAGCTGCCTTTGATCTGTTTTTTGCTTAATACATTAGGGCTCTCATTCGAGCGTTCCAGAATCTTAAGATGGCCTGAAGCTGGCAAGCATCAGGTCGTGTGTTGGAACATACGCATACCCAATAGCAGAGGAGCCGGCGAATTATAACTGAATTTGTCTGTTTGGAAATTCTTTCCGACGTTGAAGATTTCGTTGAAGAAGCGTCGCCAGTTTGCGGGAGCATGTTATGCTTCGTAGAAACCTTCGTGCCAAGAACCCGACACGCAGTTATCGAGTGTTGTATATGGCACACTATAATAATGCAGCCGCCATTGATACACATTAGGTTGGACGCATGCTAAGGGCTGCGTACTGAATTCGGGAGGTTACTTACAGGTTAGTGCGATTTCAACTCCTGTGGTTTCAGTTTTTAGGACAAAAAATAAATGCGAGCTATTCACATCGTTATTCATAATTTTATTTAATTCTTTATCTTTTCATTATGTGGCGAGGGAAATAAAAAAAATTCAAACAGGATCTAAAAAAAAAGATTTATATTCAGCGCGTGAAAAAAAAAAATGGCGTCATTGGGTTGCGTAATTAGCGCTCAATGACGCCTTTAACGAACGGATCGCATCTTTGTTCCGACAGTGTACAATGCTCGACGCTGCTGGCATTGTGGTGAGTCGCACGTGAAAGGGCGCCTTTCCTGATGGGATATGATACACATGCACTGGACTCGGTATGGCACGGAGTCAGACAGATTGCATTGGGATATATCAATTTATTCGAGGTACGCTGGAAACAAATAGACAGTCCGGAGGGCTCATGGGCGCCTGTCTTTAGGACTTGGCTGAGCTAAGGTTTAGGGCAGATGCATGTATACTTCGTTCGACATGTGTCTTGCAGTTCTCCGATTGCTCTCCTCATCCTGTTTACACGGAAGTCACTTGCCACTCGCAGCAGTGCAACTGACACGAAAAAAAAAAGTTTTTTTTTTAAACAGCTTAATTGGGACAAGCATGTCACAAAACAAATCTTCCGCGAAAAAACAAACTTTTTCTAGCAATATTTACGCCGCAGGACGTAATTTAGTCGGAGTCACAACTTCTCCACATTTGAAACTCCCGCTCTTTCGACGCGCGCGGAGTGGCTGCTATACGTCACAGAGTAACGTATAGCAGCCACTACGTGACGTAGAATACCAACTTTGCGGCGCGCGATTTAAAATGGACGAAATAGCCGCAAAGTAAAATTAGACTCGCGCAATAAATATTGCTGTAAACAATTTCGTTTTTTTGCGGAAAATTTGTTTTGTGACATGCTTGTCCCAATTAGGCTGTTTAAAAATACTTTTTTTTTTCTTTGCAGTTACCCTTTAAAGCAGAACAAGCCTCTCCATTGTTCGCTCTGCTAAAGTGGAAATATTGAAGGGCTTTGCGGGATGGGCTTGTCCCGCTTTTCTTAACCTGCAATAGACTGTAGGTTATGTCTAATTGCTTGAGAGGTAGCGCGGATGCTTGATCAGTGGCATGCCGGGTTGAGTTGGATGATGTTGGGACTGCACAATTGGTTGGCTAGGAGGGCGTGTTTTGTTTCAGCCGACGTTTCTGAACACGCTCGTTTCAGGCGACTGAACACGCTGAACAAGTGTGCCCGGTTGAAGAACGACGGCCTCGTCAAGCAGACGGTAAGTCTCCCTTCTGAGAGCGAATGGAACATTGTGTGGAATCATATTCGGAGAGCGAGTCGTTGGCTTCTTGCGCAGGGGTTGCGGTGACCTCAGAACGACGTCGAGTTCTGATTAGAAAGACACTGAGTAGACCTCAATGCTAGATGGTCTACCCTCTAGTTATTTATTTATTTATTTTCAATCAGCCAATAAGAGCTTAGCGTTCTGACATCATCGCAACCCCTGTGCACAAAGCAGACAAAGTTGCGCTCCGCGTAGCTTAGATTCCTTTTCCTGTAAGGTACTGGTCAAAGGACCAGCGTCACTCTAGCTTGTGTTTTCCCGGATCCGTAAATTAAACGGACACGCAACTCCCCTAAATCCCCATCTGCTGAGTGCCTAGGTAAGACACGTATCTCACAGAGATTAACAAGATTGTTGGACATCCTTCGTCGTCACGTGGCCAGCGTGGGGCACTGATTGAACACGAGCACTGCATTAGCGCTCGGCCGAAACTCGTGTCCAAGAAGAACACGAACGTCAGCCGAACGCAGCACTCGTGTCGATTTCGTGTGTGGCGTTGGCCTCTAGTAGGCCACCGCAGGTGACGTAGAAACTGCAGCACCGCAGCCTCGTGGTCCACGAGCCGTTGTCCGAACGGTCGATCCGTCCGCGCAGATGCAGCAGGACAGCGACGAAGAGGAAGGCCCCGCGCTCAGCTACAACTGGCAGTTCCACCGCAGCAGTCGGCGATGGTCCAGGGTGTCGCCTCCGCTTCCCGTGGTCGTGACGCCGACCAACGGCGCGGGCTGCCGGGCCGCGTCGGCCCAGGGCAGCGCCCAGGAGGCGTACAGTTCTCACGACAGCGTGTTCCTGGACGAGCCCCGGAGCAGCCCGGAGAGCCGACTGTCGACGAGCGACGAGCGAATCATCGGCCTGGGAGCTGACGAAGGGTCGCCGGGACACAAGCTTCGCCGCAGCGGCTCCGAGAGGATCCGCGACGCCATTCTGCGCAGGATGGACAGCTTTCGCGGCAACCGGAGGCGGAAGAAGAGGGGACCGGAAGGTGCGTCATGGCGGCCGCCGGAAGCGCTACGTCACGTGACACGCGCCCCGTGTGGGATTGGCTGGGCGAGGGGGGTGGCCTTAGCGTGAGCGATGATTAGATTACAAATTTACTTATTTAAATACCTTAAGGACCCCCTTGGGGGGTGGGGCAGAAAGGGTGAGAAACACAAAAAAACGCGATCTCATAAAAAAATATTTTGCTTGAAAAAAAAAAAAAAAACAACTCCATCACACCTAAAATTTGATTTCACGTAATCGCATTTTAAATTATGTTGAGTCATGAGTAGCTAGGATGTTTTGGAGGGAAATGTACCAATCGATGGCAGTACGTGAAAAAAAAAAATCCTAACTGAAATTTGACGGTTCGGTCATTTTTCATCGAAGTTACTCCCTGTACGGTGGTAACGGATGAAATTGGGATATGATCAATAGGAGCCGAAGGTATATATATATCGTAATTCGGATGAAATCGGATTTCTTTCCATTTTTCCATTCAAGAATAGCGCCTCATTTTTGTCCACCGCTTTGAGGGAAATGGGAAACCCAGGAGCATACAACTCGGTAATGTACGCAGTGTTACAAAGCTGGTAGAATATTCCGCCCATTTTGTCAGACTATCAACACTGAAGGAAGGAGCAACACTCAGTGGCGTCGGAACGGGGGGGATCGGGATCGGTGAAAACGATACTACCCATATTACAGTCTTGGGTAAGTTACTTTAAAAATGTAAATCGATACAGTTACAGTTATTTTCAGAAAAAAAGTGGCGAAGTTACCGTTACAGTTACCACAACAAACGAGTAACTCGTTACAGTTACAGTTACTTTTAAAAAGTAACGACGTTACTTTTAAGTTACTTTTCTAGAGCACAAAAAACATTTAGGAAACACTATAAAACACCCCTCACCAAGTTTTATTGCATAAAAAAAAATATGCTTTTTACTTTATATTGTAACCTAGCAGCAGTTACTTCTCAAAATTAGTGTGAAAGTTTTTCCTCGTTTGATGGCGACCACAAAACATGCCCAGTGCGGAGTAATGGCGCTAATCAAAATACGAAATATGCGCAATGCACTCTGCGTGTATTTTTGCTTCACAATTGATTCACCCAATTGAAAAGCGTTTGCACAGAAAAAAAAGAAAAACCGCAACATAGATAGTGCTTCAAGTTACTAAGATGTAAGTGTTCAGTCACAAAGTACAAGCGCGTGTGCAAAGATAACTAGATTTTTTTGTTATTAAATCTACACGTGGGCTATATTCAGGTCGTCACTCGCGAGAAAGAACGTCACAAGTTTGTGCAAAGCCAACCTGACATTCGAAATGTCGGAACAGACAATTTGGAAAGTGCAAGGAATAGCGAGATTGTACGCGTTCAATGATACATTATTCAAAAGAAACTTTGAAGCAATGACTAAAGTAACGTCGTTACTTTCATTGTTACCTCAGAAAAACCAATAAATCTACAGTTACATGTTACAGTTTGAAAAAGTAACTTGTTACTGTTACAAGTTACCAAAAAGTACCAAAATTCCAGTAACGCGTTACTACCCAAGGCTGCCCATATATTTAAAAAAAAAATGTAATGCAAACAATGCGAGGGAGGGGCAGAAAATCGCGCACAGTCTCCCCCCTCTTCCGAAGAGTTCTGACGCCCTTGGCAACATTATTCCCGGAGAGCTGAGGGATTCCGAATCTCCCACCAGCTTTGCAACGACAACAGTACAGCCCGCTTTTTTATCGATAGCGGGAAGCAACTACAGTTACCGAGATCAAACTCGGCGTCTTCGTCATTACCTCGGCTACCAGCTGATCACAGATGTCTTTTTAGTGGGAAAGCATTAACTGTCCCAGGAGCAAACCGGCGTTATTAGCTTTTGAAGGGACGCCAAACGCCCCCTAAATTCCCCTTCCCCAATGGACCGAAGCCTGTCGTCTGTAGCAACAAATTGATGGATAAACTCCCATTAGCTGGCGCACGTCACAGTTCCAAGGAACGCCACCCCACGAGGAAGCCCTCTCCATGGCGCAGCGGCCCGGCCGCCGGTAAGAGGGAGAGGGTGGCCGGGCTCCGCTGAGGTCGCCCAGCTGGGCCCAGCACGGTGCGCAGCTTGTAGCAATACGCTACGTATCATTCCGACACGTTAGCAGTTTTAAGTGTCTCTAATTTTTTGATGCGTCACTGTAGGCAAGTTAACATTTCTCCTGAGAGCTCCGCGAACGTTCGTTGAAACGTGGCTCCCAGACGTCTTCGTCTTCCTAACAATAAAAAATAAAAGAGGACGTGCGAAGGAATGAATAATTGAGGAACGAACGATCCGCAGATGCCTTCGGATTCTCGTATGCATGGCTTGCACCTGACGTCATCGCACCGTGCTGGTGGTCATTCGCGCTTGTCTTGCCGAGAAAAACAAATCTGATGGTGCGAAATGTGGGCAGCGCAAGGTGGGCGCTCAGCGGGCATGCCACCAGAATGGCGGCCCGCTGATGTGACGTCGATCCAAACCGTGTATTGTGTGAACCCTGAGGCGGAAGCTGCGGCATTCCTGGACACGTGCTATTAGCCCCAGCTGCTCCGGCGGGCTGGTCCGTACACTCCGGCAAAAGCCCGAAGAGCTGAGTGATGTGCTTTGCCTGGTCATTAACCTCCTGAGGGTCGTTAGGGTCTCCAAATGGCACGCCTTTTCTTCATTTTTTTTTTTACTTAATCCTCCTTCCTCTTTCTTTTTTTTTCGCTGCTTCTTATCGAATCACGCCTTAGGAGTGGTGGCCCGTTTTTCCCCCTCTTTTTTATTTATGCTCATTTACGCGATTGTTTTAGCGAGGCAACTATTCCCTGTTTCGGACCTTGCGGTGGACCGCAGCGGGCGCTACGAGGCTCTCGGAGCCTATCCAATGCCGCGTATCACCCACGTGACCCTCGGGATGGGCACTGCGGGTACGCGAGGGGCACGTGGTCACGTGATACGTTCACAGCGTTTGATTGGCTGAGATGGACTCGTAGCGTCCGCTCCGGTCCGTGTCTTTTTTTGGCAACTTTTTTTTTTCATTTTCGCTCCCTCCCTCGGGGTCTTGGTGCTTTATTTTTAAGTGGGTCACTTCCGGATTTTTCGTACTTTTTCTTTTTCTTCTGTTAGGTCGTTTGTTTAGGAGACGAACGTTTGGATCACGCGCGCCGCAAAGTGGATTGCTTCCTAGGGAAATGTCGGGCCGGAACGACAGGGCGTCGTCTTCGTCCGAAAACTCTCGCGAAATCTACTTTTTTCGTCCCGTTTTCTATCTCTGTTTTTTTGTTTTGTCGTTCCTCACCCACTTTCTCCCGTACGCGTTCAGTGAGGTGCCGAATCTCCCTTAATTGCGCGTTGTTTGCGTTTTCCTTTCATTATTGCGTTTCAGCTTTTATGTGCTCTTTGAGTACGTACGAGGCGCGACATAGCTTAACGCGCTGCGCGAGCGATCGGCGGCGGAATTTTCTTCTGGTTTTCGCAAAATGTAGCAAGGTGGGAAAGTGTGGCACTAAAGGTTCGAACACGCGTTTTTTCGAAACTCGGGGTATCAGTTGCTGCAAGTAAGTTGCGTGTGTGGGTTTGTTAGTCACTACTCGTGTCGTCGAAAATAATCACTCGAAATCTACACGTACAGCCCCCCCCCCCCCCCCCGTTTTTTTGTTGTTTTTTTTTTTGTTTACACAAATGTCGACACGACACTGATTGCCGCCGTCGCTCATAGATGGCAGTAGCTGTCGAGAGCGTTGTGTTTGCTGGTTTTCTGCTTGCCGCCGTCGCTCGTAGATCACGGCAACCTTTCCAGCCTCGGCAACCAGACAACTGGTTGCTGCGAGCGGCGATGTGCGCAGTAGCGCGAATGGTTCCGCAGCCGCCGCGAAGCCGCTATCGCCTAAACTTTCACCCGTTGCACTGCGTCCAGCGCGTCGATTCCCTTGCGAAAGAAGAGCAGAACGCTCGCCTGGAAAGCCACCGCCGAGAGCAGAAGCTACAGCTCCGCTGCTCTTCCTTCTTCACCAAAACAAAAAAAAAAGTGTTTTTTTTTTTTTTTTTTTTTAGCGCGCGTTGCACAATTTACGTGCCGCGTTTTGGCACCCGATGTTTGCACGTCGGCGTCGCCGCGGCATCCAGGCGCGCGTTCTCTTTTTCGTTTAATTTTCAGTTTCTAAATCAACAAAAAAAAAAAACCGCAAAAAAAAAATCGCGCGTACGCGCGACGACGGCGCTGAAGTAGGGTACGGGTTCTCGCCAATGATACACGACCAAAGGTCGTGTATCATTGTCTGTCAGTGCTTCCGTCCAACACTGGCAATGCAACTCGTTCAACGTCTAATTTCAAAATTTAAAAAAAAAAAAGGAGGATCAGCGGAGCTGTACTCGATACACTGCCGCAACGCGCCCGTTTCCCGTTTCTTCTCGTCCGACACGCCGCCAATCGTGGATACGTCTCCGGCGAAATAGAGTCCCATGAAGCGCACTTGACGCCAAACGGGTATTCCACAAACTCCCTCCGGATCCTCGCCGTCGCGTCGGGAACTGTTCAGCCGGCGTGGAGTGCAGTCGTCGCCGGGCCTCGCGCTTGTGCTTGGCCTCCGTGGCACGATCGTCGTCCGTGGCGTTAGCCCGCCGGCGCCCTTTACATCGCTGGTTCTGTTCTCGGCGGACGCTTTTCAGGCGAGCGATGTGCTCTTCTTTGGCTAGGGAATCTGAAGCGTTCGACGCAGTGGAAGTCGAGGCGACAGCGGCTCTACGGCGGTTGCGGCCCCATTCGCGCTGCTGCGTACGTCGCCGCTCCCCAGTCTTCTTTCCCCCGAAAGGGCGCGCGGCCGACCGATCCTAAATACAAACCGAAACTGATAAGAGCGTAGGAAACAGCGCGCAAAACAGACGAGGACGAAGAAACACATGTGACAAGCGCTGCGTTCGTTACGTGTGCTTCTTCTTGGTCGTCGTCTGTTTTTCGCGCTGTTTCCTACGATGAATTACCACCAACGCGCCCAGCTAACCATCCTTCTACGATAGCTGGAAAGGTAGCCGCCACCTACGAGCAACGTCAAGCAGGTTAATATTTTTTAATGAGCCATCCGCAAACTGTCGCCACAAAGCGACGTAAACGAGGGAAAAGAAAGGCCCGGGGAGTCCAGGTGAAACAACAGTCGTCCTCCACTGCGCCTCTAGAAAGGGCGACCCCACGCCGGTAGCATGCAGCTGCATGGGCACCAGTGCGGTCATTTGTCGTGCGTCGCGCTTTCCTCTAAAAAAAATAATTTTTTTTTTTATTTTTGACTCGCTTTGTTGGTTATAAATTTTGTTTGCATTGACAGAAGCAAGACATAGCGTCTTAGAATGGGTGCTTGGGCGAGTTGGATATTCATACTGTGGGAGAAGCGCAAAAGTAAACTCACTCACACTGAGTTTACTTTTGCGCTTCTCCTACGATAAGACATAGCGAGAAAAGGCTCACAATGAACTAATAGTATAATTAGTTGGTACTTTACAAGGGCAGAAAGCTAGATAACGCAGGGTGCTGTGTTATGTCTTGTCTTTTTGTTATGTACCGGCGCCACCGGCAGGTGGACTAAGCAGCCGATGCCGCGAGCCTCGTGACAATCGCGTGCTAGTGAGAGCTCGGGCACTTGTTCCTGGACCGAGAACCGCGATGGACGCACCGTCCACACTCTAAAGCTGACAGTAAAGCTTGTATTTATCACTTTTGCAAGCATGTGTCTAAAAATCCAGTGGTGATCTGCACGCATTCACCTACGCAGGCGCGGAAACCGCGGAAGGATTTGGCGGCGCCAGTGCGGCACCGTGGTCCAATCACCTGGGTCCCGAGAATCACGCCCTGAGCGACTCTGAGTGCTCGCCCCAGCTGGCCCACAGGAGGAAGGCCGGTAGCTTCAAGGGCAAGCACCGCAACCAGCAGCCGCAGTCCAGGTGGCTCTCTGCCAACTCGGAACATGGCAGGAACAGTGTTTACGACAACGTGCCTGCAGCTGACTCAGCAAATCAGGGTGAGCACTGTGTTTCAATTCAGCCAAAATTGCCATTTCTGGTTCTCAAAGGTTTTTGTTTGGACAAAATCTCCGTTCGACCAACGTTTCAGTTCGACCAAAGTTTCAGTTGGGCCAAAGTATTAGTTTGACAGGTTTCAGTTTGGCCAAAATTTTGGGGGGGAAAAATCTCTGTTCAGCTAAAGGTTTTCTTCTAGTTCTTCGACTCCCTGCTTGACCTGCACATTTTGTGACATGTGACGTCACAACACTATACAGTGCAGGTGAATTTGAGTGTTTGTGGTGCGTTCACCTTAATTTTCCTTTTTCTCAATGGGCATTTTGAATTTAGAGAATATGGATAGCACACTAGAAAGAGTAAAGCCTAGGTCTTCCAAAATTACAGTTAGTTTGGGTAGCTAAAGAAAACTGCTGGAGCTCCCCTTTAAACCGAAGCGAAATTCCAGCGCTCATTTTGTAGCTTAAATGTGCGGCATGTTGCACCATAACCTCAAAAACACCAGTTTTTTGTTGAAAGGCACAATAAAATTAATTTAAAGCTAATTAAACAATCTTTATATGTGAACCTCGGTGGATGCCTATGCAGCTTAGTTGGAAGGAAATCCAGCAATGTTAGGAATCTTGCTACGTGTCATGACGCAGCAGGAACCGCTATGTAGCTGCACTAAACATTGGAGCAGCGCCGCTCATTGGAAGTACGCTCAACTGTTTTAAGCTCTCTCGGCCTGAACGCGATTGTGGATCCTTTGCCCCTTTGTGAAGGAACCCAACGAGATGCCATGATGGACTCCCGGGAAAGTCGCCGAGTTGTACCTGTGATTTTGCTGTACGGTTCCAAGCCGTTCTGCACTTTTTAATGTCGAGATGGCGCCACGCTGCTGAGAGCTGAGAACTGTGGTAACAACTTGGTCAACAGCGATATGCCGATCCACTAGTTTCTGAACGATAAGAAACTTCGTGCCCTGCGGATCCGACTCGCACGTCCGTCGTGTCAGACGTGGGTTTCGACGCCTGCTGCTCGCTTGTGTGCCAATCACTTTCGTGATGAGGACTGCGAGCACAGTCCCAAAATAATGAAGTGCTTGGGTCTGCCGGCTAAAAAGATACGACTAAAACGGGGAGTTGTGTCTTTTTTTTTCTCCAAGAAGAGAAAAACTGACCAGCTCACACGTGAAACGTTCGCACGACTGATCTCACACGTAAGACGCCCGTCGCCTCACGGGTACTTCGAACGGCTCGGTTATAACGCGTTGACGCCATCAGAATGCTAACAACGCCACCAATTGCAAAGCTCATAACCATGCCAGCCTTGCTACGTCACGAATGCAGGGAATCTTCTTTCTCTTTTTTTTGCGCCAGATATCCCATGACGCATCGCGCTCTCCATTCGCTTCTCTTCGCTTGCTCAGGTGCACCGTTTGGAATGGAAAATATAGCCATTTGTTAACAAATACAAACATGCAATTATCATTTACGGTTATTATGCGTCATGCTTGACTCATTTCCAAACGAAATTTGTATATTTCAATTTTCGTTTCCTTACCCCTTTAATCTGGGTGTTCTCAACTTTGTCTACAGGAGTCTGTCAGCAGTTGGGCGACAATGGCAGTGTGGGCTCCGGCTCACTTGGACGGGGTCAAGAAGAGAATGAAAAGCCAGTCTACAGCACCGAACGACGAGATTCCGGTGTGGGCTCCTCGCTCACAAGGGCTGGCAAGTGAGTTGGTGCCTTGATCCTGCTCTTCTTTTCGGTTTTCCTGAATCCTGAGTAGGGTTTGCTCTCTTCTTTTGTGGACCTGGATTGTCTTCATCTGGTCCCACTCGTTGAAATTATATGGGCTGCAAACACCTGCTGATTACAGGAGCGACCTCCGTGTCTCGGCGGCTGGCTTGCTCACTCTCAGTCTTAGAATATCTGTTGTATTGTGGAACTCCTCTAGTGTCAATCTGGGCTCTCTAACCTGAGCTTGTGTCTAGGTGTCAGGTTTGAACTTTTGCAGTAAAATAATGCACTTGATTTCTTGGACAAGAGTATATATACAGTAAAACTTCGCCAATTCGGATCTCATGGGACCAGCAAAAATGTCCGAATTATCGGAAATATCGAAAGGACAAAGAAAACTGCGCGAAAATGTTTCCCTGTGACATACCTTTATTTTGAGAAGAAATCTGTTATTGCCGCCTGCTTCCTGGACGACATTTGGGCTTGCGCCACCTGCCAAATTTGCCCGAATTAACCATAGTGAGCCACGTTCCCTCCGAATTAATGAGTGTTTCGTGCCATTGACTATTACACGCGTTTGACGGGACCGGATCGGCAGTTCAAATTATCCGAATTTCCGAATTAGCGGGGGTTGAATTAACGAGATTTTACTGTATTCCTGTTTTTGTGTTGCATTAATCTTTCCCAATCGTTTTTTACGAGGTTTAAACTATGTGCTATGGGCAGTGTTGGGAAGTAAATACATTGTACTTAAAGTACTACTTTAAGTAGGTTTAGAAAATGTGTACTTGAAGTACATTCTCTGAGTATGTACTTGCACTTTACTTAAAGGGATACTTCAACGAAATTTGAAATATTCCCGTCGCGTTCAAAAATAGGTTGAATATGATCCACAATATCCGTAAATGACAATCGCACATTTGTATTTTGAGCCTGGTGGCTGTATTTTTCGTTATAAACGGCCCACTCTGGCAAGTGCTCGGATAACAGCCAGCGGAGAGTTCGTGACATCCTGCACAATCATAACGTAAATTGTCTCGGGACGAGCAAAGCTACGGCGAGGCTGACATCCAGAGGATGGCCCAGTCGTTCCAGCCACCGAAGCGGCTGCTTTTGTACGAATTTGGAGTGACGGGTTAATCTTTTGTAATCTTGTAGGGGGACAATAGCGACTTCTGCGACACACAAAAGGCATTCTCGGGAAGAGGGGAGTTCCTCCTGCCCCTCTTCTCTCGTCGTGGCCGGAGGCGAGACAACCTCCGTCACTAGCTGTCAAGGTTCCTAGACGGGCATTACAAACGAGGCGTTAGCGACATCCACCAGGTGCTCTTTGCTGATCGTTTAATTTGTTATAAAATTCCTTTTCGTGACTTTTTTAACAAGATATTGGTATGTTCGATGTGATGCTGCTCCTTTGAACACATATAGACCAAAAAATGAGCGCCGAAATTTCGTTGTAATATCCCTTTAAAGCATTTTTTTCTGCTACTTTTGGAGGAAAGTACACCTCACGACTTCATATTCACATTCCCAAAATTTGAAAAAAAAAAAAGCCTTATTGTCATGTGAAAACGGGCTATTGTCTTTCGAGACGTCGTCTGATCATTTTTCCGAGTAAAGTAATGGCAGCTATAAGACCGACACAAATAAGTGCCTTATAAGTTGATTTGGTTAAATAGTTTGTCAGTGAGAGTAAAACAAATATTCTGTGGCAACTTCACTTTAACCAATAATTTTCTGGCGTTTCGGAAAATTGCTGATGCACCCCCATTACCCTTAAAACAATGCATACCAATCTGGAAAAAAAAAATGCTGTATAAGGGAATTAAATGGCATCATGAAAGACCATGTTAAACAGTACTTGTACTTTACTTGGAAAGTACATTGTATTTATAGTAGGTACTTTATTTCAAGTACATAGTGCCTGGTGTGCTTACTACTTGAAGTAAAGGAGTAAGTACACCAGGCACTGTGTACCTCTCATCTAATTTGTATTTTACTTTAAAGGAAAACTGAGGCAGTTCTGTATTTGAGTAAAAACACCTAAATCATCTTCATTTGGCCTCCAGGATCACAAATACTATCGAGATTATTTTTCAGTTTGGTGCATACCTGGAGGCTAGAGAAAATCATTTTCAAAGTACTGCTGAAGCCCCTCCTTCCCGGAGTGTTACGTCATAAAAGGAATTTTCAGAATCTCCGCTCTTGCGCAGTTTCAGCGCCTATCAAAGCTATGCATGCACTATTTTAAAAAAGGTCAGAAGACGTCACGACTGGTGTCAGTGAGGGGGAATATACATGGCAAGCTTGCAATTGCACGCGCTGCCCACGTTAGTGACATGCGCTTGGCGGCCGAAAGATCCTTTCATGACGTTATAACTGGTCGGAGGTTTTTCGTGTTTTCTCGCGTAACGTCTATGGGGAAAATGAACGTGATAATCAAATTCATGGGATAAAAATACTCTAAAGTTCACCTCTAACTTGGTATTTTCAAGAACCTCTTCAACTTTCCTTTAAGTACTTTTTAGATGTACTTTACCTATCACTGGCTATGGGGTACTTTAGGGCAAGCAGCTGTGGTGGCATTTGATCACCCAGCCATGAATTTGAATCAATGCTTTTATCTTGTGCTGTGTCAGTGTGCATTCCGAGATCCAAGTTCCTGACCAATGTTCCACATTTTGTGTAAATTAAGTCCAGATATATTATCAAAAACTGTGGGAATTAATTATGTAGCACCCAGCTTATCTAGGAGCTTGATTTCATTTGCCACCTCACAAACTAGTTTAGTTCGACATAGTGTGACTTTTCATCTCCTAGACTTTGGTAAACCATGAATTGATTGCTTGCTTGAAGTCAAGATTGATTGATTGTCTGGCGGACTAATTGATATGTAAGCCAAGAACTCGTTTAATTAATAAATTTCTTTATTAGTCGATCGCTTATGATACATTGATTGAAATGTACACCAACTCATCTTTACATACAAACCGGAGCGTGCCTAGCGGCATTCCACCGGTAATGCACATGCTGATGGGATGTGGGCAAGAAGCGTGCCGTCGCCCATAAACAAACCATTGGAATGCGATGTTGTTGGCGTCAATGTGAGTCCCTGTACTCTTTTTCCCATTGGAATTGTTGTTTTGACGTCTTCCTAACAAAGTCTGACTGCTTGAGCGGCCTCAGCGAAATTCATGAGGCTCGTTACAGTGCAAAACTTTCCGTGAATGATGTGACGTGCGACAATTCATTCCGCTTGAACGTTGCAGAACGAACTCTAAAGCCTGATTCACGTGATGAGATTCTGCTCATTATGTTCAGTTGTGACGTTGCTCGGGCTACAAAAGAAGCGTGGAGGGTAGCTGCGATGCTTGGCATCGATGCTGAAAATCGCAAGCAGGTTTGTACTATGTGGATCAGGCATAACAAGTTGGTGATGGCCACCGGTAGCAAGGATAAACATACCCTTGTACCCACCCTTTACATCGAACCTGCTTACCTCAAACATCCTTCAAATTTAAAAGTCTTTAGAGACCTGCACTTACTTCTTATTGCAATTACTGCGTCAACATGTGTTTGAATGTGCAGGCGACAGTTTGAACATGAAGACTCACTGAACCTGGTCCGCTGGTGGTCCAGACTTTTTTGGTGGCTTTCCGGCGTTCATTTTAGAACAAAACAGATAAATCGGATGACCGCAAGTCTCCATGAGTTTAACCCAAAATTCCTCCCGCACAAGCAATCATGATCCCACGGCGTCTGGTTTTTGCTTTTCACGGCACCTGTCCGCGTTCTCGGACGAACCGGGCAGGCAGAAAACACGTGAAAACTTATCTTGACACCCCTCCCGGCTCTTGGTGCAGCCCCAGTCATGGCATTTTGACGAAAAGTCAAGGTTTTATTCTGGTAAATTTCTTTCAAAACAACACTGCAATGCTGGTGGTGTTGCAAAACTTCTGCCCACATGCCAGACCGGAAGTGCGCCCGAAGCACCACCACCTCGACATGGCGTAACAGGGTTGAATTGGTGTATAGGTCTGTGACTTGTTTATTTATTAGTAAATTATTCAGTTGACATCGTGATTGACTGATTAGTAGATCTACTTATATGAAAAATGCAATTGAATTCAACTATTGTCTGATTGACTAGGTAGTTTAAAATTTGAACCATTTATGGATTGGTTAACTGACAAGATTCTTGCATTCGATGCCGTCAACTGAGTGCAGTGCTTTTTTGTTTCCCAATCCCCAGTGGCAGCCCGTGCAACCAGGGTTCCTCCTGGCACTGTTTTTCCTCCTCGCCCGAACAACTGACGTGCCTGTCGGCTTTGCGCTACGAGCACCTGTCAGCCTCTCAGCTGCTGGTGCTGAAGAAGCTGGCACTGCTCCACTTGACAGCACTCATGGAGCGCTTCTCGCCACCTTACCGGTCGGGCTGGGGCTGGGCGGTGCCAAAATTCATCCGCCGCATGCGAGCACCGGACTACAAAGGTGCGTGCTTCCTCGGAACACTCCTCGCAAGGATGCAGTCATTGCCTACCTATCCGTTATGCACAAATCCTGATTTCTGTTCAGAGGCTTGCATACACAGTGAGACACTGTTAGCAGGAACAAGCGTTTCCAGATTTTGCTAGTTTTGTTTTAAAACTGAACAGCTGCCATAAAAGTTACTCGTACGCCGGGAAACATTGCGATTAAAATTTCTGTTCGCAATGACCGAATATGAAACTGGAACGAATAGTAAGACTTACTTAGATCAACCCTATTATGTGTCTAGCCGGAATGATCATAGTCTTAAAATTGAGAGAGTACCGTGCTAGGACAAGCATGTTTGGCAATTCTTTTGTTTGAACGATTGCACAATGGAATCTACTCACGGAAGAACAATTCTGCTGTTTGAATAAAGATGTGTTTTCTCATCTCTGTGAACCCCTCTGCTCTAATGCCCAGGGGCACTGCGGGGTAATTATTCAATGAAGAATAAAGAAAAGCCCTCATTCAGGGCAGTAGCCTATGTGCTAATGCTTGGTGCTTATCAGTACTTTGTCCAAAAAAAATTGCAGAGAAGCACCGATGTCGTGTTTGCGCTAAAAATGTTGTGCAGTACATTCTCTGTGCTGGCTAACACTTTACTGGGGGGAATAGTAGACACTTGCCTTGCCTGCAGGAGACAGAGTTATTATAGAAGCGCTTCAACAAGAGGTGGCGCTAGCTCCTGCCACAGTCCTTAAAAAACTATGCTTACTGGTCTTGAAACTTTGGTAGTTTTCAGCCAAGTAAATGTTTTTCACCACATACTGAAAACTTTTCATAATTTTTTGTAAAGCAGGTGTACCACCTTTTACTTGGCATTTCATCTATTTCGAGCTAACATGTAAGCTATTCCTCTTGAATTACAGTGCACTGTGTTAAGCCAGTTGTTTTATGAAGTGCAGGAAGCAGATGCCAGAACACTCTGATACAAAGCTTCTCCGTCAGATGATGAGCTCTCATCCTCTGAATTCAATTCTGAGAAGCATTAAAAGTCTAAGTTAAAAGAGCCAGCACTCCGACTGCCACTACCGCCAGAGCACACACTTACGCGAAGTGACCATCTCGCACGTCTCAGTTGCATGGAGCATCTACTTTTGAAACTATGAAAGGCTCCAGCAGAATGGAACACAGTGCAAATACAAGGTTTATAGTTCACCAAGGACATAACGAATATTGACACTGCCAGAGAGCGTGAGGTTTTGCGTTTAGGCAGAAACTTTCGAACACATCGTCACGGCTGTACGAAAACGGCAACGACCGTCACATGGCTAAAGATGCGACGTTTGACAATCCTCCCAAACCTCTTTCTGCAGACAAGACCGTGTTCGGAGTGCCGCTGAGCGTGTCGCTCCAGCGGACGGGCCACGCACTGCCACCGTCAATCCAAAGTGCGATGGACTTCCTGCGAAAGAGCGCGCCGGAGGCCACGGGCCTCTTCCGCAAGTCCGGGGTGCGCTCCCGCATCCAGAAGCTGCGCTCACTGCACGAGACGCCTGGCGCAACGATCGCGTACGAGCAGCAGCAGGCGTACGACGTGGCGGACCTCCTCAAGCAGTATTTCAGGGAACTGCCGGACGGCCTGCTCACGGCCAAGCTGTCCGACACCTTCCTCTGCATCTTTCAACGTAAGCAGTCGCCAGAAATCGCAAGATCCGGGCTAATACGCGCGGTGACTTGTTTTACCGCACATTTTTTTTTATTTGGAGGTTGTCACTCGAAGCCGAGATTCGGTTTACTTCATTTCGCTGTGACTTTGCAAAAGAGTGAATGCGACGGCCCCTTTGAAAAGGAAGGAAGTGGGGTGAGGATGATCGTCTCCCCCCCCCCCCCCCCCCCCCCCCATGCCACCTAGACATTTGGAACATTTTGTGCGGAGAGAAATGGAGGGAGCGGAGGAAACGAGAGCGTGTGGCATCATCGGAGGACCGAGCTCATGCAGCATTTTGTCATGGGCGGGCCGCGTCCAAATTAAAATCCTGGCAACGTGCCTGGCCATAGCAGTTGCTGTTTGCCAAGTTGTGCTGGAGTGGAGTATGTAGTAATGCCACGATGGCTACTTTTACAAACTTGAGTTGTCCCAAAATCTTTCTATACTATCGTTCATTCATAATCAGAATAACAACGTGGTCGTAACTGATTAGCTAAAAAGCTTGCAGGCTAAGCAAGGGTGACATTTGGCAGGTTATGAAATTACAGCCTGAAATCATGACCTAAAGTTCTGCAAGTTGTGGGAGTCAATAGATACCTTTTGTTCATGAAACAAAAGCAAGCTTTTGTGTATAAGGCATTAAAAATTAACCCAGTAGTAATGTCTCCAGCTTTCATAAACACAGCTTACACGCTTTGACAACCTTGGACGACATACCACGCGCTATTTCTATCGACGATTCAAGATCAGTTACCCGAAGAAATGCGGCCTGTTTTACGAATAAAGCCCGATCCTATACTCTACCTCAGTGCAATGCCAATGACGCGCGTTCTCCTCTTTCCGCAGACATTCCAGAAGAGCTCCGATTGGACGCGCTGCAGGCAGCGGTCCTCCTCATTCCCGACGAAAACCGAGAGGTCCTGGAGACGCTGCTCGTGTTCCTCAGCGACGTCTGTCGGCACGCCCAAGAGAACCAGGTCGGTGGTTCCTTGCTGTGTACAGTCGAGACGCTGCGCAAGGTTACACTGCCGTGTTTAGATAACGCGAACGCTGTTCGTGTGACACTGTGACCTCGCACGACGCCACGACATCACGTGACCCTGTAGTGTCATGTAACACCAAATTACCGCTAAATTTAGAGAAGAAATTACGACGTCCCGCTTAACGGCATCGCCTGACTCTGCGATGTTGCAATGCCACAACACTGCAATTTCCTGGTAGATTCAGCGGAGAACTTTACCTATTATTATGAGGAAACAAAAAGTCCAACTAGGGTGAAAAAGGGGACAGGCACGGACACACAAGTCTCAAATGCTGCTGAAAATTTATTTGACAAGTAACCTTTTAAATGTATCTGAACACAAAGACAGGAAAGGACATGAAAGGCAGAAAAAGAACATGGAACAAAAAAAAGTATACTCCACCATCCACACGTCAGTTGCAACTAACCTGATCCAACCAAAAAAAAAAAAACCATTCTTTCTGTTCACACAACCTTCCGACGAAACATAAAACGAGCTTAATTTTTTCAGGTAGCCTCCGCATGCTGAATTTAGCTCGCTACGACGTACATGCAGGAAACTCACACGAGATCCACCATGAAACCTTGCCAGTAACGACCATTGCCGTAAAAGAGGAACCGGAGAGAGCGAGGTCTTGAATCGTGGTCCTTCTTTGGGACACTCTGCAGATGACCGTGGCCAACATAGCGGTGTGCATCGCTCCGTCCCTGTTCCAACTGGCAGTACCACGCAGCACGAGCGCGAGCCCACGCAGACGAGCCACAACAGTGGGCATTCCCGACCAGCGCGAGCTGAACGAAAACCGGGCGGCCCACGAGTGCCTGGCACGCATGATCATCGACCACAAGAAGCTCTTTCAGGTAGGACAACCGACCCAAGGATTAGTGTGTCTACAAAGGATCCCAGTGCCGTAACACAATCCGGAGAAATCGGTGCCCGGATGGCTCAAACTTTCACCTGAGTGTATTTAGGTGGTGGATTTTACTCGGTGAAATTTCGAAGTGTAGCTCCTTTCCTGTAGACGAGACCGACAAATTTGCGAGGTGGACAGCGGACGCGTTCGCGGATGGCTGTATCTTAGACTGTTGTAACTTACGACGCCATCTTGCACTATGTGAAGTTCAAGGTATGGCTCGTGGCTTTCAGATTCCCTTGGAAACTCTCCAGCAGTGCCGTCTCGAACAGCTCGAACCGATGACGATGGACGAACTTGGGAGCCTCAAGACTCACCTTGAGAGCTGTCTGCATACCCTGATCATGGTGAGCTAATTGCCGTCTCCTGGCATATCCTGCCAAGACACTCATTCTGTGCATCTTCCGGTCAGCTGGTTGTTGTTTTCATCTGCAAGTTCTCACGAAATCAGAATGGTGAAGAGCTGGAATATTGCGAGGCCATTCTTTTTAATGCAGAATTGCATTCTCTCTGAAGCTAGCTCGGATTTTAGGGGCACGTCGCGAGTATTGCGTGGTTCAGTGAAGAGAGTTGGCCAGCTGCAAAAATCAAACTACACGTCTCCGTTGCACGTCAACGTTTCAAGAGTCACCTTAGTCTGTATGTCGTCCTCGTACCCTCTGTACATGTTTTGCGGCAGACAAAGGGATGTGGTTGACGAGGAGGATGTGGCAGTGCTCTGAAAAGATGCAGTGGTGTGTGCCTGGACCGTCGAGACTGAACGTCGGCGATCGCTGCTTTCTTCATAATACACATTTCCGCATATGACGCTTTGATCAATGGATACAGCTACAATTTTTTTAAACATTTTTTAACCGTACAGTGTGGAGAAACAGAAGGACAGGACAGCACGAATCTCCAACATTGGAGATTTGTGTTGTCCTGCCCTTCTGTTTCCCCACTGTCCAGGAATAAAAACACTATGTCAGTTCTTAACCAGCGCGCCTGCATCCTTACATTAATTTCAATCATGTTTTTTTTTGCTTTTCTGTTCAGATTTTTACTTCCTCCTTTGCAGCACAATTAGTGAAGTAACTATCTCTTGATGCAATTAATTTTAATGCCATATTTTTGCCTCCCGTGCGGAAAATGTCATCAGTCAGTTGTGACGGGTGATCAACCTCAAGGGCTCTCTCGACCTAGCCAAGTCCGCAATACTTAATGTCCAGGGGCGGTGAATCCTAAGGTTTATCGCATTTGTATAGCACCGGGATCTGATCCAAGCAGGTCGGCCTCTCTATCGTATGTCCTAAATTTTTATGGAGGAACAGCATTATAAGGAAACTTTCTTCCTCATGCTCTTTGTCTGTTCTGGTTTGGGCCTCCAAATTCAATGATAGCTGTTCAGTTCCTATTTTGAATTGCGTCATACAGTCCTGGATAGAAAAACTTATAATTTGGATCAAACATCCAATATATATGTCTAGTAAAAATTCCAAAAACACCTAGGCACTTCTTATGAGTTGTGAATGCAAAAGCATTCTTGGCGCCGAAAGCAGCAGAAGCGGCTGCAGTGCCAGGAGTGCGGCGGTGCACCGCACAGACTGCCCTGGCTCGCTGGCGACTATAGACTGTGCCGCTGGGCGAGGCAGTGGCAGGAGTGGGAAGCTCGACGCACCGCCGGGAGTGCGAAGCTTGGCGTGGCGCATGCTGAAATCACGTGTCGTCTCATCATCATCATTGCCCTAGCTGCGGGTACCGGTTGACGGCGCTAGACCTCGGAGCGTAACGTTAGGCCTAACGTCAGGCCAGCACATACCCGCGTACTCCCTACCCGCTGCGCCGCCAACAGTTTGGCTGGCTCCTTAGGAGCGATGACGCCCCTATGGAGCCACATGAAACTTTGCAGCCAATGAGAATTTATGGGCCATTTCGCTGCTACATGCTCCATGAGACAGTTAATGCTTAATTTCGCTTTAAAAATCCAAGTAAAATGGTGCCCACGTAAGCAAATTCTTCGTATCTTGATTTTGGTATAGTATCGGAACATGTGATACATCAAACCACTACTATGCACGTCCAGCAAAGTTTGTTGTCAATGGGTTTGATTGTATGTGTGTAAGTGGAGTGCACGAGCGGACATTTCTGCATTGCATATGTTGTGGCTTATAAATAGGGTTCATTGTTTTTAGGGTTTATCTTTCCACCCCAGATTCGATACCTTTCAACTGCCTATTTTCTGTGTCGGGCAAAACAATCTGCATTTATCGGACCTTGTATCGAAGAAGCACAGGGATGAGGTTCCCCTACATCCTGGCAACATGCCCGTGATCCATATATAGACCTTTTCCGCTTACTCTCGCCCCCGGCCGCAAAAGTAGGCATATCCGGTATGGGCGACGAAAAAATATGAAAATGTTTTAACCTGCAAATAGTAAAAAAATAGAGGGGAGGCAAAACGAGAATGTGCGACGGTTACAGTTATGTCCTAAATGCCTTCTATCGGCGTGGTGACGGCAAAACAATGTTTTCACTCATACTGGAAGTGACGAGAATTCAAGATGGCGGCGCCATTGCGAAAAGGGTCTATATTAGTTGAAAAATGCCCTGCTGCCAATAAGAGTGGTTTGCGAAGAAAGCGGCCTCGGTGACGGCTTAATGCACACTGTGTTTGGAACCAACACAAAATAAAGCTATAGATAAAACTTCCTTCCCTTGAAACACGAGTGGTTTTTTTTTTTCTTTTTTTTTTTTTTGTTCAAGGACAGCTTTAATTCAGATTTTTCCAGCTTCCCCTGTTTTCGAAAAAAATCTAGCTCGAGCATTAATTTTGGAGGGCTGTCGACGCATACCAAAAGCACTGGACCCTACTTAAAACCAGATTCTACCGCTTGTGTTGGAGTGTACGGTCAGACATTTTGGAGTTGCACGTTGCAGTTTCCGTAGGCCATACTCTCGTTTACACCTTGTTAGGACGAGGCCACGCCCTCCTTCGGAGTGTGACCCGAGGTGCTGACTGCGCTTTGCAGGAGGCGCGTGAGAAGAGCAAAGGGTGGGCGACCGTGCAGCACGCCGAGGTGGAGCTGGCCTTCAAGAAGCTCGGAGACGGGCTTCCTTTGAGGCTCTGGCGCTGTGCTGTGGAGGTGGAAGCACCGCCCGTGGAACTGCTCACCAGGATACTGCGAGAACGGTACTGTCTATGCTCAACTTCCCAGTGTCTTGACGTGGCTCCCTTTAGTGACAGTGAGTGGGCGGTATGTGTGGGAAGCGGGCGAGGCCAAACCGAACTAGACTCCAGATGAAAGCCTAAGTCTTGTGCCACCTCGCGTTTCGCCAGCCAGAAAACCCAGCGGCTAAGATGGTAGTGTCGGCAAAGTTCACGTTCACTGTTCAATGCACGCGCCGAGGCTCGTGCATTGAACAGTGAACCGGTATCCACGTTGCATGAGAGAGGGCGCGGCTTGACGAATAAAATATTTTAATGTTTGTCTCACGAACAATTCGGTACTGTTTTCGACTCCTTTGCAACGAATATCGGCGCACGGAATAACTTGTACGCGACACTTTTTGAAGGCAAATTATTCGAGCGAGTGGAGCTCGTTTTCCTAGTTGAAAGCAACTCCCACAGCTGACACGACCCTCATACTAAAGTAGGGTTTTCGAGGTGTCACCACCTTGGAATTCTCCGAGAGCTGTTCTCATTGTGGCCGATGATCATTTTGCTAAAATAATACTCCAGGGTTTCCACTGTGTGCACTGTCGATTGTGGTACAGTAATCTTTCGTTATAACGAAATGGCTTTTTTCGAATTATCGCTTTTATCGAAGTTCAACCTGGTCCTGACCAAAATGTACGCATTTTTGACCGGATTATCTGAAGTGTATCGGCGGCCGACCATGCTTATTATGATGGCCGAGGTGCCGAAAGCATGCAAGCCTACACGGAGATGCACAGAGACCCTTGCATTCCCCCCCCTTCTCCACCAAGGCAAACGGAAAACTGGGAAAACGGGTGACGGAGGGAAGAGCACGCAGAGCTGGCAGAGCGCCGCTTTCGATGCCAATGTGCCGACGAGCAGCGAGTGCAGCATCAACGTTCCGATGCTACACACGGTGCCCGCGGCTGACGCTGCAAACCTCCTGTCAGAATCGGGTCAAGAGATCGATGGAGCTTGGAGGAAATCATCCCTACGAGAGCCCCCAACATGCGCGCCTGCGCGGGCGCGCTTGTGGCATACTATACGCACATGTGCATCGAATGGGAGATTGGGAGCGTTTACCGAAAGTCGCTTAAATCTGCAAGGTTGAAAAAAGTGGCCGGCCCAAGTCCAAAATCCACAAAGAATTCGACATTCCGGCATTGGCTGTTCGACACTGTCCACCATTTTGCAGAACATGCAAGGCATGTTGGACGGGTTTGAGAAGTCTCTCATGCAGGAGAAAGCGTGCCCGTGACTCGAAGATGAAAAAACGCCAACTGCTTCGCACATGTTGGATTTTCTCACGTCATTGCCGAGCCGGCACAATGATTTCCAGAGCTGCAACGATCTCTACAGGAGTGTGTGAAAACATGTTCGCAAAGCCACCGAGGATAACTTTGATTCGTTCGCACTTGTTGATGCGAACGTTCCCATTGTTGCTCCTGCCACGGATGCTGTGATCGTAGACCTTGTGTGCGGCAAGGGTAAACACCGAGCGACGTCGAAGAGGCACCTCAGGAAACGCCAATGGCTGGGTTGACGCAAAACATCCTACGGCTGCTTCGAAACAAAGTGGAGTGCAGCAGCGGTGACAGTGTTCTTGCGATGCCTGGAGCAGTTCGAGGAGAACTGATGGCCGGATGAAATTATTGGCAAACTCCACTTAATTATTTTCCTCGGTAAAACTGCCGTGAGATGTTCATAATCACGGTTTATTTGGTTGAATATACGGTCCGAGCGTTCTGCAGTGTTCCCGTCCACCTTCAAGGCTGCTGACACTGTTTTGTTTTTGGCTCCATCGCTTTTATCGAATTACCACTTATATTTAATTTTTTTGCCATCCTGTTGACTTTATAACGAGGGATTACTGTACCTTAAAACACGGCACTGCGCAGTTTCTGCCGAGAGAGACGATAAAGTTCAGCGATTGGTTGCTTTGCGGCTGCGGTAGTGCCAATCCATCGCTGGTAGAGCTGCGAGATTTCGTGCACAAACAGACGAATGTGCGCAGGCGTTGTGAAACTGAGGTATTCCGAGTCGGCTTGATTACTCTCGACAGCATTTCTTGTCAGCTACAAGCATTTTGCTTTCACTGTAAGCTTGAGCTTTGCTCACTTATTGGCATTTTCATAGCCAACATTAGTACAGATTCACGTTGCAATGCTGGATAGGTGCACGCAACCCCGTGCTTTGCAGTTTCGTGCAGAGATCATCTTGGTGCTGGTTGCATGTTTTGCTTCCTCTATGTGAATAATTAGCAGGCAGAAAAAGTTTTTAGTAGTGACTATTTCGACGTCCACTTTGAAAAAAATTTTTGAATATTATTTGGATGTCCGTGACGCCTCCTCCTGAAGACGTAAAAATGCTTTCAAAAACATTTTGACATCCCCCATCAAAATACTTCTGTCCTTATTTTGACGTCTCAAACTTCGAACTTTAGAGATTCCGAGCCCAGACTGGGGAACGATCAGAGCTGGCGGTCAAAAAAAGATCATCTTGCTTGCAGGCAGTGTCGCAGTTGAACACACATTTTTCGAAAATGAATGTCATGCAGTCGACTGCTGTTTTAATGACCTTTTAAATAATGTGGAATGCAGAAAAAAACAAAAAAAAAAACACTCTTTTAAGTATATACATTAGCTATCAGGCCGCATGTAACGTTTACTTGGTTGTGCCAAACATTACAGAAAGCAGCACCGCTGCTTTTCATGATTTATTTCACGTGATTTCCGTAGACAAGGAAGCTGAATGCCGTGCCATAAAAGTTGCAGTTGATTGGAAAATGCATGTATCTCGTACAACCGCGCCAGAAGCTTTGTTCGTTCGCATCGGTCAAGAAACACACCAAAGTGGCAACGTTTGCATTCACAACGTTTTATTTAACATCCCGATTTTTTCGTAGTTAACCCGCTGGTGAACCAAATGAATCTTGAACCGTGAACCAAACAAAAAAATGAAAGTCGCTTACAACTCCCTGTAACGCCGAATTAGAGCGCAGCTCTTGAGGAGGAGGAGGGAAGGGCACTGGGGGGGGGGGTTAAACTAACCCAGGGGGGGTCACGTTACCTTGGGGGTCACGTGACCCCCAATGCCGATGATGTCATCACTGACGTCACTGATGACGTCATCAGTGACGATGACGATGCGGGTACCGATGACGTCATTAGTGACGTCACTGATGACTTCACCAGTGATGATGACGATGACGATGCGAATGTCGGTGGCGTCATCAGTGACGTCGCTGATGACGTCATCAGTGATGATGACGATGACGATGCGGATGCCGATGACGACATCAGTGTCGTCACTGATGACGTCATCAGTGATGATGACGATGACAATGCGGATGTCGGTGACGTCATCAGTGATGATGACGATGACGATGTGGATGCCGGTGACGTCATCAGTGATGAGGACGATGACGATGTGGATGCCGGTGACGTCATCAGTGATGATGACGATGACGATGTGGATGCCGGTGACGTCATCAGTGACGATGACGATGCGGATGCCGGTGACGTCATCAGTGATGATGACGATGACGATGTGGATGCCGGTGACGTCATCAGTGATGATGACGATGACGATGTGGATGCCGGTGACGTCATCAGTGATGATGACGATGACGATGCGGATGCCGGTGACGTCATCAGTGATGACGATGACGATGTGGATGCCGGTGACGTCATCAGTGATGATGACGATGACGATGTGGATGCCGGTGACGTCATCAGTGATGATGACGATGACGATGTGGATGCCGGTGACGTCATCAGTGACGATGACGTCATCGGGGGGTCACGCGACATCGGCGGGGGTCACGTGACCTCGAGGAGGGGGCCACGTGACCTCAGGGGAGTCACGTGACTTCGGGGGGTCACGTGACCCCCCGCGAGGTCACGTGACCTTGGTGGGGGGCTCGCGCGGTGCATTATGGGACATTTCCCATGATGCACCGCGCGGTTACGCCGACGCCGACGGCGACGCCGACGGCGACGCCGCTCAAGCCGGAAACGGGCCCCTAAGAGCTGCGCTCTAAAAATCTAAACTAAACAATGAACTCACGAAACCCGGTTAACAGGGCGGGAGCCCGATGGAAAGCCAGACTGCAACCATACAAAGATGCGCTCGCACGATATAAAGGGACAAAAAGAGAGCCAAATTTCTCAGTGCTACGTAGTGTACGCAGTTACTATTGTTGCGTGCAGGCAAGACAGGCATATCCAGCTCGTCTTTGTTGTGGATTCAAAATTTTAAGTGAGACGCGTGCCGAAATTACATGAAAGCTCAGAACCTCGCTTGTCAGGTCTGAAAGGATCAACTGTCGAGCTAGTACCACACACACGCTGAATAAGATATTTTCACTGCCAACTATGACCGAAACTTTTTAGGCACGCAACACTTGAACCGGTCAAAACGTCAACACACCATCATCAGAAACTAAAGAGAACGAAACCACAAAACGTCTACCACTGTGCCGGCTGTATTTACGAGGACGTCACAATAGTAAAGCCACTATTTTGACGTATACGGAATTGATGTCACGGACTTTGAAATAACTGTAGAGATATTTTGACGGGAGACGTCGCAATAGTCACTACCAAAGTTTTTCATATCCTGCAAACACCCAGCAACTCCGTAGTCACGGACAGTTTAAATAACGCAGTGCGTGGCTTATAATATTCACACTCCTTGCTTCGTAGGTCATCCTTTAGTGTTCTCGTCGTCTAATGCTCTAATCTCAATGGTTGCGGAGCGATAATAAGATGCCTGGGAATCGGCTTGCCCTGCATTTCTTAAACTGTCAACTGCCGTAGAAGTTTCAGAGTAATCGTAGCAAAAGTTACATATATATATATCATTTCTATTTTAGGCATGTGTGGGACAACACACTCCTGAAGTGGCGTCACATAGCCAAGCTGGACAAGCAGAGCGAAGTCATCCAGTACATCTGCAGCTCCATGAAACCCCAGGCTCCACGAGACTTCTGTGTTCTCAGGTAAGTCAACTCAAGGGTTTCATTTTGTGTGTCTGTTTTGTGCATCAAAAGCATCAGTTTTAGTATTACCTTGAATTTAAAACAAGTCATTTTGTTTTTTGTTCAAAGCATTATTTTTTGATAATGGTCAAGAGGCTTTTCATTTCTGAAGGCATTTCTTCGATAGATGAACAGTGAGAGCTGATATCCGCATTTTCTGTCTAGGTTTTTGCAAGACTGCGTACCATTCAGGCTCACTATCGCTCATTCGTAGCACCTCCCGTGTGGTTTGACTGGTTCAAAAGGAAGGCCAGCTCTTGTAGCCCCGAGAAACGATCCCAAGCTCGGTTAAAGATATGAATTGGCTGAAGTTTGCGTATAAGTTGAGCAAATGCATTAAAAAGATAGCCAGCCAACCCACTACTTAAGATTTCTTGGGTACCGTAAAGGTCAAACGCCGGCAGTCCCCGCTTACGGCCCGTCCCGCCGACTCGTGCAGAGCTTGGCGAACTGAACTCGCCAAGGGTTCTTGCGCTCTGGTGGAGCTGTCCGTCAACCACACGGATGCCACGGTGCTCCTGCGTGGCGTCAGGGCGGTGGTTCTGGCTTCCCGGTACCTCATTGAACCCTGCGGTGCCGGTAAATCGCGCGTCACCCACATCAGCCGGGTGGACCTGAGGTGAGCGGCACCCTTCGTGCGTCACGTTCTCGTTGCTACGCCACCTATAACGCGTCTCCCAGTGGCTCGTTTGGCGTTCCTTTCCGCCCGTGCGTCGAAAGGCGTCCCGAAGCAGCGACAGATGGCGTCCCCAGAGCTGGACTGTCGTGCTGTCAGATGTTACCGTCCTGGCGCTTAAGCGTTTAAAGTTCTGGAAAAAAGCGCGAGTGTCGCCGTCATCGCGGCATCTTGACTCCTGGCTGCCAAAGCTTCCGCATCAGTGCTTATTGCACCAGTGCTTACCGCAGCAGTGCTTACTGCACCAGTGTTTACTGCACTAGTGCTTATTGTGTTGTACTCGCTATGTGTACGTACCAGAATCCACAAAGTTGCACGAATAAGGGTTGTTTCTGCAGCATCTCGCGTGGTTACCAAGTTCCTTCGATTGCATCTTCTATGGAAGCAACGAGCTTTGTGGTTCAGGCGGGAATTCCTGATTGTGGAGGCTCTCATTAGCCGCTCGAGTTACCGTCGCAAAATTTTGTTTTAAAGTGTCTCTACAGTCTCACAAGTTAATTAATTTAAATTATTTCGAAAAACAAGCTCTATCCTAAGGTTGTTTTACTAACAAAAAGACTAGTATTTTCTGTAGTTGTTACAAAATAGCATTCATTTGATGTGAAGCTTAATATTACGGCACATAACACTCCTCTCCTCGAGTTATACTCATTATTTGCACGATATCTTTCTGTACGTGTTGTCTGTGCAGAAAAAGTCTGTCATAAGTGTACGGATAACCCTGTTGATGTGTTATCCGGGGCACTGTGGCAAACATCCGTGCGATCCGGGGAAACGCAGAAAACAGTAACGCCATTTTTCTTCTTTCTTTCACAGGGGTCGAACACCGGACTGGTACCACAAGGTTTACGGAAGCATGTGCGCCCTGTTGCTCATCCGACTCCGCGACTCTTTCGCTCAACGCGCGGAGGGCCCCGAGACGAAAGTATGACCCGCGCTCAACGTCGAAGGAAGGCCTCGCTGTACATATCCCGACGCAGTCAACGCTTCCCAGAGAGCCCTTCCCCCGACGAGACACGGCAATCGCCACGCGCAGCCGCCCCTAAACAGGAGTTGAGACGCGCCCGGTTCGCATTTGACGTTGAAGCGCGCCCACGAGAGCCGTACAAAGACGGAGGATGGAACGGGAGGTTTTTTTGTCCGCAGTTTTTGTTTGGACGGGACCATCTGCCAACCGCCGTCTTATTCCGCGTCAAGATGTCCGACGCCGTCTTCAGAGGGCCTCCGAATTTTCGGGGCGATGCCAAATAGTTTCTTTTTTTCCTTTTTGCTGTTGATTGTTGTTTGTGTAGTAGCAGGGGTAGTTCACATACTAGGTGGGTTTACGACAGAGGCTGTTCAGCTTCTTCGAACGATTGCTTTTTCGTTTTCTGATTGCACAAGTATCTCGTGGGATGGAGACCAATAGGCTTTTCTTTTTAAGAATTTGTTGGCGTTCGTAAGCGATCGAACCGATGAAATGTCAAAAAGTAGCGATGTGGGTTGTTGAGGGCGTCTCGGATAAAGTCGTTTGCCGATCAGTGCGGTACAATGGGTCTCGTTTTCGCGATCCAAACGCCCGCCTGTCATGAAACAAGCATATCGCTGCTAATCATATCGATGGTCCTGCCTCGCTGGTTCTTCCAGCAAAACGTCTACGATGAGCTTAATCTCAAAACAGACTTTCAGCCCAAAAGAAAAAAAAAACGCAATGTCCCCCTTTTATTTTTAAACACATATACCGACCAAATGACGACTACACCAAAGCATAACAACGTGCTAAGCATAATCTTTCTAGTAACTGTACATCTGGTAGGTTTCTTTTCATATTTCTTTTGGTCAAAACATGGAGCAGGCTTCCACCTCTTCACTAATTAATCGCCACAGTCACTAGTTTCCGTAGACGCGTGTCCCGGAGCATAATTGAAGTGTGGAGAAAGTTGCGTCTGAAACCTTTCCGCTAAAAAGGCTGGCCTTCTTTGCAGATAGAACCCATCACATCATTGCATTTCTTTTTTCAGAGACATTCTGATTGTTGGGAATGGGAGTTGACATTTTCCTACTTTGTACATACGTTACCAGCACTTCACAGGAATGCGCGAGTTTTAAAGATGTGTTTGTTTATTACCGATAGGGGACCAGGCCTTCATATGTTCACTAGTCATGTTAGTAGTACTACTATACAGAGCACAGCACCCCCCTCCCTTTGGTTCTCACGTGTAATACCAATTCAAATGGCAGTTTTTGTTTCCTCCTGTTTCTCTTACCTAGTCAGGAATGAATGAATGGTTTACTGGTATGCCTGCATAATAATTTATTTTCGAGTCACTTCATTTGCACGGAGAAAATACAAGCTGGGAGAGCGATGAAAGTTGCCTTCCGTTAAGTTCAACGTTTTATGAAGGCATTGCTTGCGAGGCTCGTTCACAATTCTTAGATGTTTTTAGATCTTTAAAAGTGATGTCTGTTGCCTGATCACTTTGAAACAATCTTTGACAACCCTGCGGCAGCATTCTTTTTTTCTCCGGAGAATAGAATTGCGAGGTCTAACGATGACAAAATGCTTGGAATTTCTAGACTACAATCTGCCATGTGATCTGGTGGTGTACTGTTGTGTACTGATACATACGTTGTTGACTGTATTTGTGGACAGTGTATATAATATGACATGTTGCATTCACGAGTGGACAAAAAGATAATAATGTAGAGCCTTTATGTAAATAGTTACAAATTAATCGGTGGTTACTTGAAAGAAATAAAGAGTACTATATATATATATATACCTATATGCTCCACGAATGCCATGGTTGTTTTTCATCTTGATGGACGCATATAGTATCCTCAGAATTTCTTGTCCTTTATTGAAACAGCATTTAGGATGGAGAAGCCACACTGTCCTTTCTATTCTTCAGGAAATTGGAGACAAAAAGTTCACCTGAAAAGAAGCATCGCATAAAATGGCCAAATATGTCGGTAGTTAATATTTCGTTTTTGGGGAACCCCCCTCTGATTGTGCATGCAGGTTTCAAAATTGCAGAAAGCACTGAAGGCACCAGGGAACAAGGAAGACAGACGGGGCGCTTCTTTTCAGTCCTCGTTCCACGGTGCTTTTGGCACTTTTGCGACGTAACAACTGGCCCAGCCCTCCGTCTAACTGCAATTCGTTTCAAGATCTACCGTCCTCTGCAGTCGCCAACATATTAACAAACACAAGGCGTGGCCATCTTATTGCTCCGCAGCCAATAACATTGCAGTACTAGCCGACAAGAACGCCAGAGAACGAGTCGCAAAGAAAGAAGCCTGAACGTAGTAATAATTTGCGCTTTGCACCTCTTCTGCTGGCAGTAACTATAGCTGCATTTCCGTAGAAAATTAGTCAAGGTCACTCCGATGCATGCATTCTCAATTCATACCGAAGTGCATGCGGGAAATTATTGCATAACCGTTAGAGCGTCGTTGGAACAAAGAGTGTCAGCCCACCTGCTTTATAAGAGGATCGTACCAGGGGTCCACTGGCTGTGTATAAGAACCCCAGCTTGTTTCCGTAGCCTTCCCAGTGCATAAACTTCTCCGGAGTGACGTACTCCACAACCTGATAAACGAGTCGACCATCAGCACTTCCCTAATGGTACGTACGAATTGCAGAGTTAGTCTTCTCGAAATGCATGTCACCTTGAGATGGCGTTTCGTGGGTTGCATGTACTGTCCCAGCGTGAAGCAGTCCACGCCAGCCTCCCGAACCGCTGCAAAACATGGACATCTTTGTACGTAAAGGAGAGTGGATATCCTATACAGTAAACAACCTTCTTTTCCGCAGGCTCTCGACATTGTGAAAGGTTTTGCTAACAAAATTCCACGATTGGGAGTAATACGCTATGTATTGGTCACCATGGGGTGAAGTATTCGCTCTATCACTTTTTTGCTACAATTTCCAGCCACAAAATTTGCAAACATTGAGTTGTTTATAGTATTCTATATCGCTGCACTTGCATTTGCTGTGCGGTCTTTCATGAGAGTGTTCTATCGATTTTACGAGCACAAGTCACACCCACAGATATGAATGCCAATAAAGGCAGAAATTGTGTAAACGGCGTGCTGAAAACCAGAAACCCTATAAGTAATTCACAAAAACAAACTCGAACTCTGTTGCTCAGCAACATTAAATCTGTGGGGGTGTGCCAGTACTGCTAATCGAATAGTGCTTCAACTTCTTCAGCTTCAACACTCCAAAGAGAACTGGCGTGTCATGGCTTACCTTTGTCTTGTGAAAGCTATGGGTGACTGAGCACTATTCAATTCGAACCAGTTCTTGCGCTACTTTATAAATCTGTTATGACAAAGCCTGAGAAGTCGAAAAGACTCTCATAAGCCACCACCATTGTTACACCACCCGGTGATTTAGGTAAGGGCGCTTGTGGCATAGGCACCCTGTCGCTGCTTTGCATTTTCTCAGGATTGTGCTTTGCCGATGCATACCTTCCATGGTCTTCATGACTTGGCTGTCACTTTCTCCAAAGCCCAGCATGAGTGAAGTCTTGGTGATGACTTTGGGGTTCACTTCCTTGGCATGCTTTAGCACTTTCAAGGACTGCTCAAAGTTTGCCCTTCGGTCTCTGACATGACTGTTGAGAAACATCTTTGGAGATTAGTACTTTTGGAAAAACATTGGTACCAGAACGCTTTGTCTAACTTTGTTTAAGTGAATTTTTGAGGATCTTAGGAAAACTGTTTACTCACTTGAAACATCACTATATTGGGAAACTTCAACGAAATACAGAATTTAGACAGCAGAATTTTAAGAACTTTGTTATTGAGAAGTCTCTTCGAAAGTGTGGTTCACTCAAGCAAGGTTGTACGGTACATGACTTAAGTGATGCATACGTCGTATCCCTGCTGAAACAGCTAAACTACTCCACAAGGTTGCAAATTTGACTAGTTTTCTAGGATTATACTTTTAACTTCTGCACAGTGACTTAGTAATTGCAGTTCAAAGCAAAGCATCATATAAAGCTTAACGGTGTCAAGAGTTTGACATCGGTATTATATTAAAACCGATGTCAAACACTTTTTAATAGAATCATCTTGAAACTTTGTCGGCAGTTGTGACATACACTCAAGACATTGGCAGTAAACAGAAACGAGGTTTTTGAAAAGCTCAATCAATATCTGAATCTGGAAAATATATTTGACAGTATTAGGCATTCACAAGCACTTCTTCATTGCCTGGCTTAGGATTTTGCTAGAAAGAAAAAGAGGACAACCTTACTTACGCCTGGAGCTCAGGAACTGTCTCAATGTTGTGAGCATACACGTCTAGGCCGGAAGAGGCAACCTCAGCGACAGCTTTCATGTCTCCTGCGAAATCTGGCGTCAGGCATTCAACGAGTATTGACGGCTTCCTGCAACATAAGGCCACAAAAAAAAAAGAAAACGTAAACAACACTAAGAGCATTTTTGTGTGTATCGCAGCAAGTGCAAAAAAACGCAACCAACCTTTGCTTGATCTGCCGGACTGTTTCTGCGAAATGGTTCGACCCGCCATCGGGCAGATCTGAAAATTTCGCAGGTGAGGAAATTTGTATGTTGGGGCAAAGTACAGGTTCCATTAGTTATCAGGAAGCCACCACAAAAAAAGGTAAGTACTAAGTAAAAAAAAGTAAATAGGTAATTCTCTGACAAATCACTCGAGCGAAGCATGTACCCTGCGTGACACTGTTAGCGCGAACGTGACCAACGCTTTCTCCCATTTTACTTTAAAACGGTATTGGCGGTCAAATTTTACCACTTAGGTTAGTGCATGAAATGAGCACTGTCCACCACACTATACTCGCGGTCAGCTTTCTGTGGCAATGCAGTCAATGCTAGGGGAGAGGATGCACCAACCGCTGCACACAAGCTTTCCTCCTTTCTTCGGATTGCCACAGAAAGTTGACTGTGAGTATAGGAGTTCTTATAACAACTCTTCAATCCTAAGAGACAAAAAAAAGACGCTGATAGCATGTTTGCGCTAACAGCGTCGCGCTGTGTGCAATTTTTCTAACCTTTTTCGCTCGGAGACATATTCCCTACTTTAAAATAATTTCATAGAATTGGATATTTCATCGAGCAACAACGACAAAGTTCCTAAAACTGAACTCGAAAAATCAAGACTGGGATGGAGTGAATAGCCCCCAAGCTAATATTGCACAATGTTCAAACAGAAACTAGCGTTGCCATGTAGTAAAAGGTTAGTGTGTGCGGTGATGCAAGACACTAATCGCTTCTACACTCACCGTCTCTGTCAACTGACGTGATCACAATGTAGTCGAGGCCCCATTCCGCTATGGCCTCGGCCGTATTCAGAGGCTCGTCGGGGTCTGGGAGCGGAGGGTGGCGCGCTGTTTTCACCGAGCAGAAACGACATGCCCGCGTGCATGTGTCGCCCAGGACCTGAAAGAGAATGTGCCTGAGACGCTGCAAGTGATGTTAAGACTCTCGTATTTCATTGTCGAGAGGATTTTCGGGCGCACCATGATGGTTGCCGTGGCAACGTGGTCCGGGCCTCCGTTCCAACATGTTCCAATGTTTGGGCAACGGGCCTCCTCGCAAACCTAGTGGAGAAATTTAGTTTAGAAAGAAGAGCTGAAGTTTATGTCTATGTAAAAGTAACCGTGTTGCATGTATGTTTAGACAGCAGTCGGCCACAGTGGACGTCTCGTGTCTCCACTGAAGTGAGGAATTTAGCCATTGTGATGCACGGCCTATGGTTTAGCGCAGCCATGCATCACACTGGCCATGCTACCAGACGCCGGTACGACGCCCATCCAGATCAAAACGGGCAGGGCTGGGGATTGAACCCCCGGATCCCTGGGTTCTGCAGCGAGAGCTTTCGCTCCACATGCTCCGAGCTGTGGTTTGCTAAGACACTTAGCCAGTGATTCCCCTCCTATGTTGATGTCAGTAAGTAGGAAATACTGAAAAGGGAGACTGCCCGTTACCAAGAACTTGATCCAAGACCTGCCTGCCACAAAAACCTTTCTTTATATTTCATCTAATCTATTTTTCCCTAAGTTTCCTGGGGTGTTTCAGTTACAAAATTACTTTCGATTAAGAGGACACTGAAGTTAATTTTTTATCTGAAATTACAATGAACATTTTGCAAAGGTATGCATCTTCCTAGAGGTCACCACCAGTACATAACTGGTGGTGACAAGCTTCGACGGTGGCCACAAATTAAAAACTGCCACCACAATGAAGACAAGTTATGCGGGTGAAGAAAAGGACATTTTGAGCACACCTCTAACAAACTCGCATCTTCGACAAGAGCTTTAGCTGCACATTTAATCATGCGCAAGATATGGCTTGTCCACGTTCATTCCTGTCGAAAGACTTTCCATAGGAATCATTTAAATTGTAAATCACAGCAGCAGCATTTCTGATCAGATGACGAGGATAAAAATGTTTTGTTTTTTTCCCCACTCTGTGCAGTTTTTAAGAACCCTTCTTATTGAATGAACATTTATTTTAAAATTCCCTTAAAATAGCCTTGTTTCCAGACTGGCTCAAGATAAAAGAAACATGTCAATAATAAAAATATGTCGATCGGGGTGTGCTGTCCCTCCTTTAGCATGTCTTCCATTTTCCTTCCCTGTCTCGGGTACAGTCATGTCAAGTACGAAGGGGGGTGAGCACCAGCTTGACTGTGCGCTCACTCTTCTTTCAGATGTCGATTAAAACAGCCTTGAAATTGACTTCAGTACATTCTTAAAGGCACTACTTGGAAAGCTAGAAACAAAACAATGTTTACAGTGTGTAGCTTCTTTCCTCGTAGAGATCCTTTCAGCCGAGCAAAGTTTGTTCCTTTCGGGATTTCCACTTTGAGCCAAGGCGGCAGCTTCAACCTTCACAAAAAAAGAGAGAGAATGGTAGGCAGGTAAGAGCACGTGTGATAACTCAATAATTGAAAAAAAGTATATTAAAAAAAAAGAAAGATGAAAAAGCTTTCAATGTGCCTTTCTGTTTCTCCTGGTGCCCGCTTCAGCTTTCCCTTGTAGTCGCTGAAGGTGCTACCTCTGGGAATGGCTCCGGCAATAAAGTCTTGAAGGCCCGGTCCGTTCTGAATGCCGGCCTTCTGCTCGCTTGTCAAGTCGCTTTTGTAACAACACTGTGCCGTGGACACCGATTGCTAGAATGGAAAAAGAGCGCAGTAAGGCGGCTGCAAAGTCTAAGATGGAATCTAATACCATCCTTTTTTCCTTTCCCTTCAACAGTATCGCATGATTTTGAACTCCACCTCCATAAATAGAGGGGAATTGTTTTCGGAGGTCCGCCACTTCCTAAAATCCCGTGTTTGAAAGCTTGAACTGACGGCTTTCGTGAGAAGCCTAACAAAACAAGAACTTTTCTTAATACATTCTTAGCACAGGAGCATTATAAACAACGTCGTGTACTATGATGACAATTCTTATGTTCTAAATACTTAAACAAAGTAAAAAAAAAAACCTACAGTATTGGTTTGCTAAGTTGAATTGTAGTTAACGATGTGACGTAAGTAATGCCAACATCCAACATTAATAATACATTACTGCCGTTTAATTTAATAGTGGAATAGACTATGGCTATATTTTTTTTTCAGGAGATAGAAACCATTTATTTTGTAATGGCACGCTCAAATGCAAGCTTCATAATTTCCTAATAAAAATGCAGGCATCTGCCGCGTTCCACGCATAAGTCAGTGTTACCTTGTGTGGGATTTATATGTGAACTGTATTTTAAGAAGCACATAAAGATTGATTGACTGATTGAAAAGATGTGTGAAACGATGTTCAGATGTTTGGAAAACATTTTATATTCAAATTCAATATTTGGTTTTCCCCTGATGGGAACTCAGCTTCCGAAGATTGATTGCCATTTTAGACCCCCCGGGTAGTCAGTTTAAAAATCTACCCCGCCCTGCAAAATTCGAGCAGTGATCAGATCAGATCAGATCAGATCAGATCAGCTGATCAGATACTCACTGAGGAGTATCTGATCAGCTTGTTATCGCCGACTCGTCGGTCACCTTGAAAAGGCAAGCCGCAGTCAAGCGCATACCGTAAACTAAATAACGAGTGGCAGGTCATAACCTCACCTGTCTAAGTGCCCTTCCATACCGTAACGGACCAATGCACTGCTTGAGCATGATGGAAACTACGGCGAGATTATTGCCACGAAGTGGGCCCCCACTCCACACACGACAGCGCCATGACAGAATTGGAAGTGGATTGTGTTGGATTGGATCGTTTTGGCTAAAAGTTTACCCTTGTGGCCAGATTCAAGCACATTGTCGCTGGGCTTAGCCGGTAGTCGGCTCCGTTTTCGTTTGCGTTTTAGCGAGTTCGTTTCACGGCACTCGTGCCCACGCGTGCCCACACGCAGCGTGGAGCGGGTTCGTTTCGGCCGGTACTTCACGTGTGGTTGCACTCCGAGTAGGGAGCCTACATACTAGACCTGTGCGCCGGTCAGAAATTGGCGGCGGCGGCGCGCCGGTGTTTATACCTCCGGCGGCGGCGTGTTGACGGCGCGGGGATCAACGGACCGGCGGCGGCGCGGCGCGGAAGAGAGAGGGGAGGGGGGGGTGTAAATTAGAGAGTGAGGAGGAGAGAGAAAGGAGTCGTTTGAATTTGGAAATCAAGATGGAAATACCATAAAAAGGAACACACTTTTTTATTTTATTTTTTTTCTGTGAAGAGTGCGTCCGTTAGAAGAATCAGGTACTTCGGCGTCTTGTTTATTCTCGTTTGTAAGAGAATATGTCGCCGGCTGGCAGCCGCGGCGCAAGATCCTCCGCAAGATGAGGACCGACGACAACAGGTATTTTATCACCGCGTTCCATCTCACCACGCGCTTGTCGCACGCCCCGTGCCTATCAAGTCGACCGAGCACGTCCTTCGATTTATAGAACTCGTACTCTCATTCGATACGCCGCAAGCCGTAATCACCGACAACGACAGGGTCCTAACCTCTCGTTCGGCTTCGCGGTACTTTGCCGACAGGCATATTCAGAGCATCCCTAACAGTACTTTACGCTCCCGAAGCTAACGGCTTTGTCGAACGCGCCAACGGAAAAATCCTTCCATGTCTGCGCTAAAGAACGTCAACGGCGACATCGATTATTGGAGCGATTATCTCCAGGCAACCAGCTTTCAAGTGAACCAGCAGCCGTACGCCGGACTCCAGGCATCAGCGTTCGAACTCCTGTTCAACTTCGTCCCACGTCGACCAATGGAATTTTTCCTGCTTCCCGACGAGGGCGGCGACGTCCGCGCGAACTGCGACGCTGCAAACGCGAACCTCGCTTACCTTCACGGCATGAAGCGTTCCTACGATGCAAAACATCGACCAGCTCCATTCAGGGTCAGGGACAGGGTATGGTACACGAACGGCGTTCCTTCCTCGAAACTTGGCCTGCTTTTCCACGGACACTTAATTCATCACCAACGTGAACAATTAAACCTACACCATTTCCGGGTTTACCCCTCAAGGCACACCGGATTGCCGCCAAGCTGCCGCACGATAGATCTTTTTTTTTTTTTTTTTAACAACCTGCAGCGATTGACGTCGATTTCAACCAACTCGCCTTGCACCGCGGCAGATCTTCCGATTACAAGCGCATCACGCCGACGCCGCCCTCCACGATGGCTAGACGCATAACAGAGGATCATGACAACATCAACAAAATGTGCGAGGGTGCAAGGATTTTGAGCTCGGGAGTGTAAGAAAATACGCTGGCGGCAAAGACCCGTAAGGAGAGCCTCCCCGACTCGACCGGATGGGGGCTCGACTTCGACCCCCGATGCTGGATCCCGGCGTGGAAACGAGAAAGAAGGACCCCTAGAAACACGATGTGACAGGAACAAGCCAGGCGTGTGGATCAAAATAAAATACGTTTGAAAGAAGCCTGAAAACGGACGCGAATATAGCCCTTCTGTATCAAATTATTTCACAAAAATTTCATTAAATCGTTTTGCGGTCTACAAAACCGTTCATTCCGTTATTACACTTTAAAAATACAGGCGAGCTGGTGAAGAACTTGGGAGACACGAAACGATAAAAATAACGGACAAGACAACAAGTCTCAAACACAGCTTTTATACCCGTTTTCACGTCAAGAACTCTCGTAAAAAGAGTCCGACTCCTTGCGAACCATTACTAATTTCCATCTTTATGTGGAGAATTAAGATATATGTAGCTGGATTCTACTATATATATGTTATCAAGACGTACACGTTCCAGCGCCAAAATCATTGCTTTTTTCTCCGACAATCAAATCTCGTAAGACTTTGTGTCGCGCATACGAACATCTTTGTTTCATGTATGTGCTCTCCCCCTCTGTAATGCCTTCGGGCCCTGAGGGTACTTTAATAAATAAATAAATAAACGCTCAAAACTTTCTTTTTTTCTTGAAAAAACGGGTATAGTTTTTTTGAACAAGGAACGCTCTTATATATACGTCAAGGCCCTCACTACCAAAAAAGTACTCTTAAAAAAAATGGGTATCACCATACACCCTTTTGTCCCATATAACGCACCCCAAAACTTTAGTTTGACGCACAGCGCACAGACGGCCACACATTTTACAAGGGGCTTGATAACGGAGCGATGTAACTGATTAAATAGCTAAAGTATACGTACCAAAGACCACAGAAAGAAAACACTGATGTTTTGCAGCAGGGCAAGAAAACCCCGATTATTATTATTTTTGTAGTCATTAAAACGTACATTAGCTATTTTAATAAATTGTACCACACGGCTATCAAGCCTCTCGTGAAAGTTAGTACCGTCAGATCGACGTCTGAAGTTTTGGGGTGTCTTATATGGGACAAAGCTGTAAGAATACACCCTTTTTTTTAAGAGTGTTGGTCACTGAAAGCCAGACATTCAGGCAGATCCAAATGATTCATGGTCACACTAGGGTGCCTTCATGTGCGCTTTGCTTAGGGTGGAGACATCTCGCCATTTTGTCCCACACTTTTATTTTTATTTTTTGTTTAGAAGCGCGTGAAAGAGCGTGTCCCTGCACGCGTTTGTGGCGCTGACTGTGCTATGGCGACATTTTGTTTTCATCGATTTCTTTGTATTTTACCCGTGAGCGCGTGCTGTCGGCATCGGGTACTACAAAGGGTGGCATCACCCTAAACAGAAAGACATTGAGGCACCCTAGGTCACACCAACCTGCCACCCAGACGACCCCGCTTGACCAGCCATATATGCGATAACAGGCAACTCCATCAGAACCCTTACTAATTTGATACACGCGTGACGAGATGTCCCTACAGCGTGCAATTCGCTTAACGAGTGTCGATGAAACGATCGTGTCGACAAAACGTGTGTCCGTGAAACGTGTGCCCATGAAATGTTGTCTGCGATACTTAATTCCACGAAACGAGTTTCGACGAAATGAAAGGGTCCCGTACACCACTCCTGCCTGAAAAGTTACATCTGGGTTCTTATGTTTTCTTCTGGCGCACCTGAAGACCACCAGAAAGGGGGTTGACCTTTCTAATTTGTGCTGAGCTTTGAAAACTAAATTTACACCGAACCTATTCGCCACTGATATAAAGGTATGAGAGATTCCATGGTAGTAAAGCACACACACAACATTCTTCACCACCGGTTTTTCCACAGGAGCCCGATTAAACCTTCAGCACCTTGAGCACAACTCTAACAATTACATCATGGTGATGGCCCGCTTCCAAACGACGCATCTTTTGCAACTCAACTGCCTCACCAACCCAAAACATACGGGATTTTTTACAAGCGTTATCCATCGCAGACGCAATTACACCACTCTTAACTATTTTCAAGTGACAGCTCAGCTACCAACAGAGGCTTGGCTGATCCCTTGCCGTACATCCAGCACAGCTAGGCCCTTTACCGTGTGCAACCAGGGGCGGATGCAGGAATTTCCTGATTGGGGGGGGGGGGGGGTCAGGTACTGGTCAGCGTACCATATGTTTAGAAACCCCTCTCCCTCTCCCTCGTTTAACGCCCTAAATTTCACACATGCAGAAATCTAGAGGGGGGTCAGGACATCCGGACCCCCCCCCCCCCCCCCCCTCTAAATCCGCCCCTGTGTGCAACAGTAGGTCTATAAGCACTTAATTCGACTGTTGTGATGGCAGGGTTGTGCGGTCCAATCGACAAGGACCGCACAACCGTGTCAACGTGTACATAAGTCTCGTTTTGAAAAAAATTTCGGACAACACTGGAGAAATTCACGACCCGATACACAGTACACACACCCTGTTTTTGAATAAAAAGAGAACCATCAAAGTCTACGGCAGTGGACTCTAAATGAAACTCCAGAATGCTGTAAAACTATCTACATCATTCCCATTGGCAGACTGCAACTTCACTAGATTATCATCACACCACCTCCTGACCCTTATTAACAGCTCCGACTAATCCATAGAGTAACATAAGTCCTTGATGTCTACAGTTGTCACATCGCACCTTCCCCCATGATGCGGATTCAATAGTTCAATCAATTGCTCAGAGTTTTTGAGTGACAATGGGCTGTTGCTCCACTCCTGTCAGGCATTTCTAGATAAAAACCGACAACACCTTCTGCCAAGCTCAATTTTCGTTCACAACCATTTGAACAATTACACCAGGATGGGATTGTTACAGTTGTGCTCAAGGTGTAAGGAACGTACGTTTAATCCGGCTCCTGTTGAAAAAACCGGTTGTAAGGAATGTTGTGTGTGTGCCTTACTACCTTGGAACCTCTCATAACTTTGTATCAGTGGCAGAGAGATTCGATGTAAATTTAGTTTTTAAAGCTCAGCACAAATTAGAAAGGTGAACCTCCTTTTCGGGGTGGTCCTCAGGGGTGCCAGAAAAAAACACGTGCACAACACGTGCCGCAACTATTGATGGCGTCCGCCTCAATTATCTCTCTAGCAGTCTTATCTTTTTGCCTAGCGAGAACAGTGGATGAAGCAAATAATGGTTTGCACCTGCAGTCATGCGTGGTTTCAATTGACTTTGCAGAAAAAGAGATAGTGTATTTGCGGTCCGCGGCGGGCCAAGGATTGGTTGCGATGTGGTGCGATGACGCAGTGTGTATCTACGCTGAGGCGCTTGGATTAAATCAGTTGAAAGTAAGCGCTCTGTGGTGTTCTTCCTCTACGTCTTAAAGCGCGATAATGTTTTCTCACGCACAATACCAACTCGCCCAACAATCAGCAATGGTAGGAGAGTTCTGAGGGAGACCATGCATATTTTGACCTCTGGTAATTGAGTAAGCACACCGTCCTTGGCGTTGGACAGTGATATGAAGCGTTTTTTGTATGTTTTCTAAGAATTGTAAGGGCTGTGCTGGAGCTGGAGTTGCCTGTTATCGAATGTGGCTGGTCAGCCCTCAAGGGAGGTCATCAGGGTGGCTGGTTGGTGTGAATCATTTAGATATGTCTGAATCATGAATCCTATGGGTTCTGTCTGAGTGTCCGGCTGTCGGTGACCTAGTGAAGGGGAGGTGTTTCTTTTTTGGTGGTGAGGGTTTTGAGGTATATGTAACAACGCTCGTTGTTCAAATAAACTACAAACGGTGTTTGAGACTTGTTGTTTTGTCCGTTTTTTTATCATTCTGTGTCTCCGTTTCTTATGGAACTACATTTATTGATATATTTACAGGAGTAAAAATGAAAGGCAAAACAATCTATCAATTTTTTATGTATAATATAGTAGGTAAAACTCACATAGAAGCAAAAAAAAAAAAAAAACACCAATACCCCCTCATAAAAAAAAAAAAAAAAAAAAAAAAAAAAACGTGGCGACGCCGGCGGCGCGCCGGATTTATTGTGCGGCGGCGGCGGCGGCGTGCTGGCTCTGGGGATTCCGGCGGCGGCGTAGGGCGGCGAGAGCGAAACAGGCGGCGGCGGCGGCGGCGGCGCGGCGCGGCGGCGCACAGGTCTACTACATACTCGCCGACTCCGTCGGAGTCGGCGAGTATGTAGGCTCCCTAACTCCGAGCTCGTTTGAGCCACTGATCTCTACACTATAATAGAGATCAGTGGGAGCGGACGACAAGGGGTCGTCTGCTACGATGCGTCATCGTACAGCGGAACCGAAAGGTAAATAAGTAGTTTTTCTGATAAAAATTGTGTCCCGCGGGCAACGGAATCAAACACGAGCTTGAATTATGAGCATCTGCTTTTTTATGAAGCAGCAATGGACAACCCGCGCTTTATTTGCGTTTTTAGTCGCTCTGTTGCCGTACAGACGCTGAAATATGGCAGTGTGTAAAGAAATGCTCAGAACAAACGCATCAGCGGCCCTCGAGATCTTTATCACCATCCGTGCGCGGGTGAAAAATTGAACATTTGCCGACAAAGGTCCCCCAGAAGAAACCTCTGACTGCCCAATACGCCTCCGAGAAAGCTAAACATAGTGACTTTACCCGAGGCTTGGGCAACATCATCATGTTTAACATTTACCTACGTCAGCTATCTTGCCCCGTC